ACCGGCACTTACGGTCTCGTTCGTATGGTTGCCACTCCCTTATTGTGCCTGATTGCACGGGTATCGAGGTGGTTAGTTGCAGCAACTCTCGAGGATATGTTCCGTCTGCGGACTAGATTGCGCGCAGTGGAGCGTTCCACGTGCACCCATCTGGCTACCAACGTTCTCCGTGTACTGTCCAGGGGCGTTTGTACTTCGGCACGTTTTCATGCGAATGACCGTGGGTGTTGCATTGGGTGTGTGACCCCTGATGACCTTCATCACTGCAGAATCTGTGATCGATTCCGTGACCTGGCACTGCACCGTCTCCCTGGGTTGGAATCATTACCCACTCCTTGGAGGGAGATGTGGCAACATCGAGATACCTGGTTTACCTGTCTGTGTTTGATGGGACCATCTTGGGGGCTCGACCGCGACGTGGCCTGCGCTGCCTTCCTCGATGCATTTCTGAAGACGCATGCCCATCATCGGCGCCTGACACAGGTCCCCTTGTCCCAGGTCTTCGTAGCCCGATTGCGTCTTCTGGCTCGGCGGTATACTGGTGTTGCACGACAGTTCAGGGCACGGCGTACTGGGCGAGCCAACACGCGAAGTGATGTCGTCTGAGTGCACCTCGGTTCCCCCCACGGGTGGACGAAGATCGGCCACCTGGCGTGCACGGGCGTCCAGTGCATGCGCGGAGGGTGAGAGGGATACCGAGCTGATCCTGGCCGCCATGCGTGATATGATTGTTGCGCGACAGTTCATGGCACGGCGGATCGGGCGGGCTACCGCGTGAAGTGATGTCGTCTGAGTGAGACCGCCTCCTCTCATCTTTTGCGCGCGTGCCTTGGTGCTCCTCTCTATGTTCCCTTGCCTCTCCTGTCGCTTGCTTTCTTCCGTCTCCCTGCCTCTGCCGCTGCCCTTTCCCTGCGGGGTGGGCGTGGTTGGGTCCTCGGTTTTTCCCGCCCCTGCCTTCCCCTCTTTCCCCTGCTTTTCTCCCGGCCCGCCCCCGTCGGTCCTCCTGCTGCTTGCTCCTCCCTGCGTGTGCTGGTGGTGCTGGGGTTGGGCCCCCGCCTGGCTGGGGGAGTGCGCGCGGGGGCGCGCGTGCACCCGCCCCGTCGACGACCTGTTCAACTGTGCCCGTTGCGCCTCTCTGGGAGGTAGGGCGCCTGCCTCTCGATTTTGACTTGGCGTGTTTCGTGCCTGGGTTGTGGGTCGTGGTGGCGGTGGCCTGGGTTGACAGCGCCCGAGGCTTGTGGGGCATGGATTCTGTCCTCCCCCGTCACCGAGTGCGCCCCCCCCGCTGCCGAGGACTCTCGTTCGGGAGGATCGGTAGCGGGCGGTGCTGCCCCGCCCCGCCCCGCGCGCGAGGTACCTCGGTACCTCCCACGGGTGGGCGAAGATCGGCCACCCGTTGTGCACGGGCATCCAGTACCCTGTCCTTTCTCTCCCCTTCGCTGCCCCTCTGCTGCCGCTGCCCCCCTTTTCCTGCACGGATATCGAAGTTGGCAGGCATGGCCTGCCGCCGCGCTGATGCCTCTGATCACGGATTACGGACCTGCATGGGACATAGATGCTCGCCCGCGCGGGAAGAGAGAAAAAACATCCTCCCCCTCCTCGTCCTCCACCTCCTCCCCCCTCCAACTTACGGCGGTGGTGGTCCAAAACAATCGGGCGAAGAGAACTATGCGCATGCGCCGATCCTGGCAAGGCCCATCCTTGACCCAGGATCGGTGCATACACCTTCCTGGCCGAGGTACAGGGCGTATGCGCCGATCCTGCGCTCAGGATGGGCCTGGCCAGAATCGGTATATGTGCATAGCTCTTTTTCCTTTAAAACAAGCCCATCAGGGGGTGCACCCTCGGGGACCTACGATTCGGACCAGCCCCCCGCCGGAAGGGTGGGCGCTCCCGAGAGGCCCCGAGCTGGTTGGGCCCCGGATCGGCCGGCCCGTCGGGACCCCCACCGAGCGTCGTGGATCGAGAAATCGCCAGGCGTCCCTCGCACGAGAACGCCCGGCATGAGCACAACCTTCCAGAGGCCTGCGCGAGCTTCGATGCGATAGCCCAACACGGGCTCACCCTTCGAAGTCCGCGCGGATTTGAACGAGAAAGCCCGGCATGAGTCAGGAGGGGGAAACAACACACAGACACAATTAATCGTCGATTCCCAAAAAATATGAGAAAATATGGGAAGTGTGGGGGGGAAGACAAAAACCCATAACATATAAAAACATGTGGGGGATTTTTTTTATGTGTGTGCATTTATTTGCGTGTCCTAGGGCCCCTTTGGTGAACGCAGCCTCTCCGAGGTCCGCGCGGCTCCCAGGTCGGCGCGGAGCTCCGAGCGATCCCTCCGGTGCGGCCGTCTCGTCCTCATGTGCTCTTCGCTGGCGGCCGAGGAGCGGCAGGGCGACCCCGTTCCGGCGGATCCGTCGGGGCGGGAGCCACGGGCCACGGAGGAGGAGTGAGAGAAAAGGGACGAGGACGAGGAGTGACGGAGGAGGCAGAGGGAGGCATCATAATGAGGAGGAAAAGTGAGGAGGAGGAGGAGGAGGAGGAGGAGGAGGAGGAGGAGAGGGAGGAGGACGGATGATGCTGAATAATGAGAAGGGGGGAGGAGGATTGCGGAGGAGGAGGAGGAGGAGGAGGAGGAGGAGGAGGAGGAGGAGGACGGCGAGGATAGAGGGTGAGGAAGGAGAATATGAGGATAGGAGGATAGGAGGAGGAGGAGGAGGAGGAGGAGGAGGAGGAGGAGGAGGAGGAGCAGAAGGAGCAGGAGGAGGAGGAGGAGGAGGAGATGAACCACTCCGGGGCTCAGGGCGGCCGGCCTCCCGCAGCAGGACTGCGGCGGCCCAACCCGCCCTCCGCCTCCGCAGGTCACACACACACTCTCTCTCTCTCTGTGTAACACACACACGCACACACTTTTTCTCTCACACACACACACACACACACACACCACAGGCACACACACAACACACAACATACACAACATACACAACACCTAACACACAACACACAACACACATTACCTATACGACCACCCTTCGGGTGATAAGGAGGTTCGTGGGGGGGGAACCAACGTCTCACTCGATCGGTCTCACTATCGATCTCAGTATCGATCTCACTATCGGCCTCGCTCGATCGATCTCACTCGATCGATATCACAATCGATCTCACTCGATCTATCTCACTCGATCGATATCACAATTGATCTCACAATCGATCTCACAATCGATCACACAATCGATCTCACATTCGGTCTCAATATCGATCTCACTATCGATATCACAATCGCTCTCACAGTCAACGTCATCATCATCATCATCATCATCATCATCATCATCATCATCATCATCATCATCATGATCATCATCAACATCATCAACATCAACATCATCACCAACATCGTCATCATCATGAGGGCACCGTCATCATCATCATAAACATCATCATCAACGTCAGCATCAGCATCGGGACAACATCATCATCATCACCATCATCATCTCATTATCAACATCATCATCATCATCGGGACACAGTCATCGTCATCATCATCATCAGCAGCATAATCAGAATCATCATCATAATCGGGACACCATCATGATCACCATCGTTCTCATCATCAACATTATCCTCAACATCGTCATCATCCTCGGAACACCATCATCATCATGATCATCGCATCATCATCGTCGTCATCATCATCAACATCAACAACATCATCATCATCATTGGGGCACCATCATCATCATGAGCAACATCATCATCATCAACATCGTCAGTATCATTATTATCATCATCGGGACACCATCATCATCATCATCACCATCATCATCATCATCATCACCATCATCATCAACATCATCATCGGGACACCATAATCATCATCTACATCATCATCACCAGCATCATCGGAATCACCATCATCATCATCACCATCATCATCATCATCATCGGGACACCATCATCGTCATCATCATCAACATAATCATCATGAGCATCATCATCCTCATCATCGGGACACTATCATCATCATCGACACCATCATCAACATCATCATCATCTTCATCGGGACACCATCATCATCTCATCTCATCATCATCATCATCATCATCATCATCATCATCATCATCATCATCATCATCATCATCATCATCATCCTCGCGGGACACCGCGGGACACCGGCGGGACACCGCGGGACACCGCGGGACACCGCGGGACACCGCGGGACACCGCGGGACACCGGCGGGACACCGCGGGCCACCGGCCGCACGGAAGGGAGTCATTTGGTCCAGCCGCGCCTCAGCCACACGGGACACCAGCGGGACACCGGCGGGACACCGCGGGCCACCGGCCGCCCGGAAGGGAATCATTTGGTCCGGCCGCGCCTCAGCCACAGGAGACTTTTTCTCGCCCGCCCACGCAGATTCGCCTCGCCCGCATGGCACGCACGAACACGAAACCGAAACCGATTTCCCGGTAGGGGGGCTCTCCGTTCCACTTCGATCTCACCCCCTCACCTCCGACACCATAACACACACACACACTACATACCAGACACACGCAACACAGCTCAACACAGCACATACAAGACACACACAACACACAGCACACAGCACATGCTGACCACCAACACACACAGCACACACACACACACCTCACATACAAGATACGCACACTACACAACATACAAACTACAACACGCAATGCACACACACAACACACACACACACACATCACACCACCAGCACACAACACACACACACACACCACACATCACAACACACACACACACATGACACACGACACACACGCACCAGAAACCCAACACACAGACACACACAGACACACACAGACACACTCACACACATACACACGGACATGCACACGGACACGGACACGGACACGGACACGGACACGGACACGGACACGGACACGGACACGGACACACACACACACACACACACGCACACACACACACTTACACACACCCGCGCGCGCACACAACGGAGGCCTTGGAGGCGCTCGGCGAGCTCGTCTCCAACTGCGTGCAGGCCGCCTCCCTCATCCCCGGGCGTCGTCTGGCATGATTCAGCAGTCCGTGGTCTGAGATGTGAGGTTCTCATGGCGCTGTCGGTCCTCGGCGGTTTCCCAGCCTCAGGATGCGGCCCAGCGGTTGCGCCTCGCCGAGGGCCTGCCGGGGCTTGCCAGGATCGTCCCGGACGGCCGCCGGAGGCTGCAGCCACGGCGCGAAGACCGAGACGCGCTCGCGTGGTGAAGAGTATCGGCGGGAGGCTCTTGGCCGTCGTCGGCCCCTCGGGGGCCGTCGCGCCGGGCCCCCGGGCCGTCAGCAGAGAACGAGGCATGCGGGATGGGGATCCGGCCCAGCGACGGGGGGGGCAGCAGGCGGGGGCACAGGGAACGCCGATTTCCACGTCTGGCCGTGCCCCCGTTCGCTCCTTCTGCCTTCCCCCCTCTGTCAATTAAAGCTGTGCGCGGCCCGCTTAGCTTCGCCCGGAAGAGGCTCGCTCTCGACCCGCGGATCAAAAAAGTGCCCCCGTTCAGGGGGCCCTGGGGCGCCGCAGGCGGGGGTTCCAGTGCACGGGGGTATACGGAAAAGCCTAAGCGCCGGTTTGGCGAAAGCCCCGCTTACGCAGCCCCGAGGGGCTTTTCCAGGGATCCCCGCGATTAAAAGGCACCAAGCCGTCGGACGTCTGGGGCTCGGGGCTCGAGCTGAGCGGCGTTTGGGCGATCTCGTGGGCCGTGTTCGTCTCGATTTCGCTCCGCAGCAAAGACAGAACGAAGACAGGACGAGGGGAAACGATAAACAACACGAAAACGATGAACACGGTTTCCCTCCAGTTCTCGTTTTCTTATTCATGGAATTTCCGATCGGCGTGGGCCCTTGCACCCCTCCTCCCCCCCCTTCTGGAGTGGATCTGGGCTGTCCTTCCTCACAGAACGCACTGCTGCAAGCAGCCGCACTGAGCAGAGGTTCGGAGCCAGACCCCCCCCTGTCGAAACGCTGAATACGACAGCCCTCAGCTCTAGCCCTGCTGAGTCCCTCGGGGGGGGGGAGGGGGAGGAGGAGGAGGAGGAGGAGGAGGAGGAGGAGGAGGAGGAGGAGGAGGAGGAGGAGGAGGAGGAGGAGGAGGAGGAGGACGAAGAGGAGGAGGAGGGGGAGGAGGAGGAGAAGGAGCAGGAGGAGGAGGAGGAGGGGGAGGAGAAGGAGAAGGAGGGGGGAGGAGGAGGAGGAGGAGGAGGAGCCCCCCACCCCTTTGGGCCCCCCCCCACCCCTCGCTGGGCAGTGGCACGCCCCCGAGCGCCGCTCGGCGCCGGACGGCACTCGTCGGGCGTGCCGCCCCGCCCCCCCCCCTCCCCCCGCGGGCTCTCGGCGGCGGCGGCGGGCGCCCTGCGTCTCCCCGTGGACAGACAGACAGACAGAGCCCCGGTCAAACACCAGGGTTGGCCCGCAAATGGGCGAGGCTACCGCGCAGTGGCCTGGACAAGCACGCGCGCGCAACGGAGAGCAATCGTTGTGCCTCCGAGGGTCGAGGGAGGGAGGGAGGAGAAGCGCGGGGCGACGCAGGACAAGGGCCGTCGGCGCCGACAGTTGCGCGCATGCTGCCCGCGTAAGGTCGCGCGTGAGCGCCCTCGTCTCCAGTGCCCAAGGGAGCGTGCCGCGCCGGGGGCCCGCGGCAGCCGCCGCGCGTGGTCGCTGTGCCACCTCGCGTGAGGCCTGTTTTTGGTCGTCGCTCGTGTGGTCTTCCTGGAGAGCCCGACGGATGCATGAGCACAGGGCGGCAGCGCCGCCGCAGCCGCGCCCCGCCGGGGGCGTTCCGGGCGGCCGCCGGGAAGCCGAGTTGTGACCCGAGATCCAGGAGGCAACATCAGTCTAGGCCTCCAACGGGGTCGGAGTAGAAGGGGTCGGAGCCCGATGCATCGCCGATGGGGCTCGGTGCGGAGCCCGATCTGCTTCACGTCGACGTCGCCGATGCAGCGCCGATGTCGACGTTGCATCGCCTATGCACCGCCCATGCATCGCCGATGCGCGATCTCCGACCCCATCCACTCCGACCCCATTTGGGAGGCCTCTCAGTGGTCTCCCTGGAGAGCCCGACGAATGCAAGAGCACAGTTCGAAGACAAACCTGTGGCGCTCCGCGCGGATCTCTTGGCCGGGCCGGGCCCCCCGGCGGCGCCTCTGGAGCCGCCCTTGGCGCGCTCCGCGCGCAAGGGAGGGGGGCCCAGCGCAGAGCCAAGGAGTCCGGTCGGAGTGCCAAAAGTTGATGTTCATTCCGCTTCTTCAGAAGAGCACAATTATTAGTTTGGATCTCAGACTAATGGGGGACGGGTCTACGTTTGTAGGGGGGGGTCTATCTTATGGGTTCCGTCAAGCAAGATCGCTACGGGGTCTGGATGCTGGATTTGCCGTGGCTCTGTCAAGCCCTTTCATGGCCCGCCCCCCCGCTGTGGCGAGACTCGGAGTGCTCTCGACGCCCCGTGCGCGTGTGTGGGACCCGAGCTGGCCATCCACCAGGCAGCGCCTCCCTGCGCCGCCCCCTGCGCGCTCCACGCAGGGGGCGGCGCAGGGAATCGGCTTCGTGTTGGCTTCCGGGAATCGACTTCGTGTTGACTTCACGTTGACCTCCGGGAAGTGGCCTCCCCTCCGCGCTCCGCCCCCTGTTTTTTTTTCGGGACTCGACGTCATGTTGACACTTCCGGGAATCGACTTCATGTTGACACTCAGAATATGGAATTTCAGGTTTGGGAGACACTGATCTCAGGGGCTCTCTGCTTCGACTTCGATCACTACTGGGTGCGCGACAGACGCCCCTGCGTATCCATGAGAGTGTGTTCGGTGCACTTGAATCAGGAGGGGAAGAAACACACAGACACAATTAATCGTCGATTCCCTAGAAAATATAGGAAAATATGGGAACTGGGGGGGCAGACAAAAACCCAGAACATATGGGAAAGTATGGGGAATCTTTTTATTTGTGTATGTATTTGTGTGTCCTGGGGCCCCTTCAAATATTGCTGAACGGTCCGGGGGTTCAGGCGCCGATCCCGGGAACCCGCGCGGGCTTCTGGCAGTGGATGGTCATGCGTTCAAGTGGCTTACGCCCATGTTGCCGACCACCCTGGATGGCCCCCAGAAAAAAAATACAAGCGAAGCAGAAGGAGAGGAAGACGGGAAACAAGGCTCCGAGAAGGGGTGAGAGTCTACGTCGATCGTGGGAGTGGTCGACTTTTGGGGAGTTCTTGTGATGTCTGTGAAAGCTTCTGTTCATCTATTTCCCATTTTTTCGGGAAGCGTAAGAGCACAAACTCTCAGAAGTATTCGGGCGGGTGGTCTGCTGCGGGGCACATGCTCCGCCCCCCCCCCCCCCCCCAGTCCAACAGATCGCCTCCGCGGGCGTCCGTGCAAAGTGCCAGTGTCCCTGTGTGCGGGGTTTCTGTGCGGGTCCCCCCCCATGGTGCTTGCTTTTCTCGGCCGCCTTCGGGCGGGGCTGGCTTTGTTCCAGAACGTTCCGGAACGCTCTCAGAGCGTTCTGGCCGCGGCGCCCGAGACATCCCCCAGAGCCGCCGGATCTCAGGTGTTCTCGATCCACCCTCTCCCGAATGTCTTATCCGTAAGGGCTTCGCCCCCTGCCGCCGGCCCCCTCTCTCGGAGAATGGGCCATGGAAGAGCTAAGTCATGAGGCCTTGGCGCTGTCGTGAAGCAGTATCGAAACTTCATGCGAAGCCGATTCGCAATCAGCAAAACCAACTGATCACAAGAGGGGTTACCACACCTGGCGATTGGTAAGACGTGTATGGTTTACGGGCTTGGTTACCACACCTTGCGATTAAAGGGCCGAGGGAGTTCTCGCAGTTTGGGTTACCACGCCTTGCGATGGATGTGCGTGAAGGGTGGCACCGAATTTCAGAAATGTGGCAAATCCATTGTGTTTTTGGGACCCTCTGCGTAAGGGGTGGCGCCGAATTTCAGAAATGTGGCAAATCCCCTGTGTTTTTGGACCCTGACCCCGCGGATCTGCGTGAGGGGTGGCACCGAATTTCAGAAATGTGGCAAATCCCATGTGTTTTTGGACCCTGACCCCGCGGATCTGCGTGAGGGGTGGCACCGAATTTCAGAAATGTGGCAAATCCCTGTGTTTTTGGACCCTGACCCCGCGGATCTGCGTGAGGGGTGGCACCGAATTTCAGAAATGTGGCAAATCCCTTGTGTTTTTGGACCCTGACCCCGCGGATCTGCGTGAGGGGTGGCACCGAATTTCAGAAATGTGGCAAATCCCATGTGTTTTTGGACCCTGACCCCGCGGATCTGCGTGAGGGGTGGCACCGAATTTCAGAAATGTGGCAAATCCCATGTGTTTTTGGACCCTGACCCCGCGGATCTGCGTGAGGGGTGGCACCGAATTTCAGAAATGTGGCAAATCCCTTGTGTTTTTGGACCCTGACCCCGCGGATCTGCGTGAGGGGTGGCACCGAATTTCAGAAATGTGGCAAATCCCTGTGTTTTTGGACCCTGACCCCGCGGATCTGCGTGAGGGGTGGCACCGAATTTCAGAAATGTGGCAAATCCCATTGTGTTTTTGGACCCTGACCCCGCGGATCTGCGTGAGGGGTGTCGATTTCGAGCCCCCCCAGCAATTCAGACAACGCGCCCAGGGGGTGCTAAAAAGCCGGTTTGGGCCTCCCCCCCCCTCGCGCGGTCAATCAACTAGTTACAGTAACCAGCAATAAGTCAATTAGTTAAAGTAACCAGCAAGAAGCAGAACTGTAACACTGGAAACTACAAGCTACAACTGGTACAGGAAACTGCGAACCTCGCTCCTACAGCCTGGTGGCCCCACAAGGGGGCCGGCGGATTTTCACCCTCCATTCTCGACATGCTCGATCTGTTCTCGCCCTCTACCCTCGCCCTCTATTCTCGATATTCTCGATCTATCCTTGTCCTGGCTTCGCCTTTCGCCTCCTCCACTTCTGATGCCCTGCATCCCTCCTCGGCCCTCGGCTCGCCTCCCTCTTCCTGGCATCGCCTCCAACGCTTCTCCCTCCCTCCTCCTAAGTTCCCCACCCGTGTCCCCCTGTTCCATGTCTGTCACATTCCTCCTCCCCGTGTTCTCTCGGCTCTTTCACTCCTCCACCCTCCCTCTCCTCTTGCTCCTGTCTTTGCCTGATCATCATAGACTGTTCCCTCCTCCTTCCGCTACCCTCCATCCCGCTTCCCTCTATCCTCCTTCATCTCATCCTGCCCCAAACTTTTCCTCATCCCCTCCGCTTCCTCCGCGCCATCCTCGCCCCCCCCTCCCCCCTTCCTTTCTACTTCTTGCCTCCCGCGGCAGCAGGGGCAGCGCGGACACGGGCGTGTCCCTCTACAGGAGGAAATTCCAAAATAGTTACCCAATAGTCTGGGATGATTTTTCGACTATTGTTGACTATGCTTGAGAATTTTCCGTCCAGATCCGACTGTGGGAGGACAGGCCCGACCTAACATTCTACGCAGCAGGGCCCATCGCCGCCCCCCCCCACAGAGGCGAACGCCCAGTTCGTGGACCCGGAGTTCGCGCCGTCCAACAAGGCGCCGCGCACTCGATGGGGGAGGGGGGAGGTGCCTCCTGACCTGCGGGCGGGGTTGGCACGAGGACATGGTGCTGGTGCTGATGCTAAAGGTGTTGACGATGATGGTAGTGATGATGCTGCTGCTGCTGATGATGATGGTGATGACGATGACGATGACGGTGACGATGGCGGTGAGGAGGATGACGAGGATGACGCTGACAATGATTATGATGCTGATGCTGATGATGCTGATGATGATGATGATGATGATGATGATGATGAGGGCGATGACGACGATGACGATGACGATGACGATGACGATGATGATGATGATGATGATGATGATGCTGTTGATGATTATGATGATGATGATGTCGAGGATGACGATGATGATACTGCTGATGGTGACGACAACGATGATGGTGGTGGTGGTGTTGATGATGATGCTGATTATGATGATGATAGTGATGATGATGATGATGATGATGATGATGATGATGGTGATGATGATGATGATGCTGATGATGATGATGATGATGATGATGATGATGATGATGATGGTGATGATGGTGATTGTGATGGTTATACCGATGACGATGATGCCGTTGTTGTTGATGAGGATGATGACCACACTCGTTTGGGCCATCTTGGGGCTCTTTTGGCCTCCTGTGAGGCAGTCTTTGGAATCCATTGGGGCCGTCTTGGGGCCCTCTTGCACCGGCTGCGGGCTCTCTTTAGCCGTCTTGGGGGAGACCGTCGTGGGTCCTACGCGAGGCCCGTTTCGGCCACTTGAGCTGACGGCAGCCTGAAAAGGCGACAATGCGCAAATCAGGCACATTTTCTCTTCTGATCCTGTTGGAGGTCCTCTTGTGGCCATGTTGGGCCTCTTGGAGGCATCTTGGGCCGTCTTGGAACACTATTCTGCCGCTTGGGGGCTATCTTGGGCCGCCTTCGAGGCATCTTGAGCCATCCTGGTGTCTTTGGTTGTCTGCACGGGCCTTCTTGTAAGCTCGGGTTGGACATCCATCGTTTTTAACATGGGGTCGTGGCTTGGGAGGCCCTGAAGTGTTTGGGAGCAGCGCCTGAGAATGCGGGAAGTGCACGATCCTCGAGCGGATGCGCGTGGGATGAGGGGCCTAGGAGTGAGCAGCCATGCGGGAAGTGCACAATCCTCGAGCGGGCGCGCATGGAAAGAGGGCTCAGGCATCAGCTGACATCCGGGAAGTGCACCGTCCTCGAGCGGGCACGCGTTGACTGGGGGGCTAGGCATCAGCTGCCATGCTGGAAGTGCACCATCGTCGAGCGGACACGAGGGGAGTGGCCTCGGAAAACGGGGGGCGATGCATTCAGCAGTCTGCGTCGACAGTGGTGGGGGGGCTCTTTATTAAGATCCCCAAATCTCTACCAGGCAGCCCCTCGGCAGACTTCCTTGCCTCAACGCTCCAGGGGGCACGGTGGCGGATCTATGGGAGCCAGGCTGAAAAGACATGAACAGGCGGCCAGCGGATGCATCGACCCCCAATCGCCCATTGATCGCCGATAGGGGCCCGATAGCCCACCCAGCCCAGGAACGCGGGGATTCGCGCTGGGGCCAATCGACTATCTGTTGGCGATGTATCGCAGATTCCAGTTCGAAGTTGCCCCCTCCCCGCCCCTTGAAGCCAGTGCCCCATAACGTTCCCCCTCATCTCCAGGGAAGCCGCGCGAGCAGCGCGAAGACGACCGCGCGCTCCTCGCTCCGCCCACCCAGGTCCAGTTCGATTCGGCCGATCGATCCGACCCGACATGTCGATTCCAGCCTGCTCGATCCATTTCGGTTCCGACGGGCTGGCGGCCCCACGTTTGCCCAGCGTTGCCGCGCATCCTGGCGCGGCCGAGCTTGTTCGATTCCGGCCCCGTGCTGGCCGACGCAGCTCGATCCGATGAGCGCCCTGATGAGGAGGAGGATGAGGAGGAGAAGGAGGAGGAGGAAGAGGATGACGATGGCCTGACGCAGCTCGATCCGAGGAGGAGAAGGAGGAGGAGGAGGACGAGGATGAGGAGGAGGAGGAGGAGGAGGAGGAGGAGGAGACTCGTGGCCGACTGATCCTGTCTCGTGGCACGCTGCCGCAGTGGGTCGCGTACACGCGGGGCACGGGGGCGACGCCCAAGACTGGCAGCTGCCGCTGCCGGGGCAGGCGCCGCCCTGCCCAGACGGGTGCCCATCGGTCGTTGGAGGTAGAGAGTTCTGGCATCCCAGAACCCAATTTGCAAAAAGCGAAATGTTTCTGTCACTCGTTGTTCCCCTATTCAAGTGCCTTCCTTCTTCAAGACTCGGTATGGTCTGGCTGTTGTTTGCCATTCATTGGACGGGCCCGCACCCGACCCACTCCATCCGCCTTCCTGTTTCGTGTCTCTACCTACTTCTTCCGACCGACGGGTAGCCTTTCCGCCGGTCCTGCTCACGAGCAGACATTGCCGTTGCAGTCCACCCGCATAGGGAGGAGGAGCATTTTTCCAAGGTTGCCCTTGCATCCTTGGCCCTTCGGCCCATCCTTGGCGACCTTCGCTGGCCAACCTCGCTCGAAGGGCGTCAACATGCCGCTCGAAGGTCCTTGCATCCTTACCGCGCATGCTCACTGCGTGGGTTAACTGTAGTCTGTGTTCCGAGGCGGGGATTTATCCATGGCCATCGCCTGCTGGATCGATCCTCGGGGTCTTCGGCAGGCAGTGGACATTCGACATGATCGTGCGTTGGATACATACATACATACATACATACATACATACATACATACATACAAACAAACAAACAAACAAACATACATACATACATACATACATACACACATATACATCCATACATCCATACATACATACATACATGCATGCATGCATGCATACATACATACATATATACATACATGCATACATGCACACATACAGACAGTCATACATACATACATACACACATGCATACACCCAGGCAGACCGGCAGACATACAGACAGACATACAGACATACAGACACACAGACACACATACATACAGACATACATACATACATACATACATACATATCTACACACATACATACACACATGCATGCATGCATGCATGCATACATACATACATACATTTACATATACATATACATATACATATACATATACATATACATATACATATACATATACATATACATATACATATACATTTACATTTACATTTACATATACATACATATATACACATACATATATATATATATACATACAAGCATATATGTATCGACATATTTCCATACGCATCGCCGGCCGGGGGCCCCGAAGGTCGATCCACCAGGTTAGACTGCAACTCCTGGGAGCCTGAATTCAGCATCGCCGCCAGTGCACCCGCGGTCGAGAGCTGGCGCAAGCCAGTCCAGTTCCGCCTGGTCCAGCTCAGTTTGGTTTCATCCTGGTATGATTCTGGGCCACTCCAGCTGTGTGGCCCCTCCATCAGGCTTCACAGCCCTGGATCGTGCCTGCGGAGGCCCTCCAGGAGCTGCCTCCCGACCCAGGCGGTGGCTTTGGACACGCCCCAGCCCAGGCCCGTGCCAATCCTCTCGAGCCTCGGCGCGAGGCGCCGGCGTCCGATGAGTGCCCGCCCCGCTGGCCAGGTGCTCTACTCGAACGGCAGGTGCCGCCGGCGCGAGGCGCCACCCGCGCCGCGCAACGCCCTGCGCGCGCGCGCCCGCGTCGCAGGCCCGGCAGGGAAGAGAGATTGTTTCTTCAGGCTTGCGGTCGCCATCCACGGAACTTTGGGCAAGAGACTGGGAGTGTGCCTTTGCCCCCGTCCTCGCTCCTAAAGGGCCGTCCCCGGGACGTGGACGGCGTTTCGCCTCGTCTGGCCTCCTCCTCCCGCGTGGCCCCTTCTTTTTGTTGCGACACCCGTCTTTGATCGAAGCGATCGACGCGTCTGAATGTTCGCGCACCGCGTGAACACACGAGGCCATTGTACGGGCAGCGCGCGCAAAGAGGAAGTAAAAGAGCAACGAGTGGCGGCAGAGTGGAGCAGCAAGGCTTACCCCAACCCCTTAGCACCATCTTCTACATCTTAGTGGGCCCCGGAAACAGCAGGGCCGTTGTTCCATCGTTTTCGAAAAGATGTGTTTTTTAGTGGAAGCGGTTGCAAAAACGGCGACCGGAAACGGCAACGAAAACGGCTTTGGGATTGGCACCGGAACCGGAACCAAAAACAGCGACGAAACCCACAACAAGGGCGGCGACGGAACCGGCATAAAAAAAACGGCAAAGCGGAACCAGTAGTAAAACGGCCATCCCCTTGTTCACCTTTGCCCGTCGATCTCGCCCCCCTCCTTCTCCTCGTGCCCCGCCCCCATTCGACCCTCGGTCTCGCCTCCCTCTTCCTCGTGCCCCTCCCCCATTATCCCCATTCGATCCTCGATCTCGCCCCCGTCCTTCCTCCTCGAATTACAGCGCCTATTGGCTAACAGAGGCGCATCACGTACTTTGCCGAGAGTGGAATTTGCTATTTCATTGTGGGAAAGCACTGGGGATGTTATCAGATTGGGAGACAAGCGCACATGTGCCTCACGTGAGACAGTCGAGACGGCACGAGTTGAAGCAAAAAGAGCAGGGGCTGGGCATTTCTGAGCGCGTTTGGCGCGGGATGCACCTGTCTCGGCGCAGGAAGAGCCGCACGCACTAGCGAGGGCATCTCGGAGTGCAGGCGTGCAGGCTCTCATGTCCTCTCCCCTGCTGCTGCTGTTGCTGCATCCTCCGAGTTCCCCATCCCTTCTCTTCCTCGGTCCTCTCTCAGAAAGAAACCGAGAGGAACTTGGCTCGCGAGTTAAAGAGGGGCATCGGGAACCCCCCTCCTTTTTGTGCAGGCCCGCGAGCACGTGCCATTGGCGTAGGCCCTGGCGGACAATGCCGGCGTTGCCACACCCCTTGGGCTCGCAGAAGAGCTACTGACTCATCCATGGCTCCCTGCGAACAGGCCTGCACGATCGCCTGTGGTGGAGGCGAGGATTGAAGGGTTGGGGTGTGGGGTGAGGAGGGCAGCGTGCACGCCTAGTGGCCGGTGTGCCCACTTGTCTCTGCGCAGGCCTTGGCAGTTCTTTCGGTATGATGTCGAAGGGCTGTCGGGTCCTTGTTGCGTATTTTTCACGCAGGGGAGTGACGCATTCGTCCCACACTGCAACTTAGCGGGCGCATTGACGTTGAGACCCCCTCATGCGGATGTCCTGTCCTGTCCTGTCCTGTCCTCCCCTTTCTCCCCTTCGGCCCTTGGCCCCCCCTCTCCTCCTCGTGCTTCTCCCCCTCTTCGGAATTCGCCCCTCGATCTCGCCCCTCCCTCCTTTTCGTGGCGCCCCAAGGGGGCTTTCGAGGCCCTTCCCTTCCCGTCATGCCCGCTCAGGCGGACCAGCTGCTCATCGTGCAGCACTACGAGAGGCGCCCAGGGGCGGGGGAGGAGGAGGACAAGGAGGAAAAGGAATCGGAGGAGGAAAAGGAGGAACACGAGGAGCAGGACGATGAGGAAGAGGAGGAGGAAGCAGGAGCAGGACAAGGTGGAGGAGGAGGCGGAGGAGGAGGAGGAGGAAAAGGAGGGTGAGGATGAGGCGGGGTATAGGATTGAGGATTCGAAGGCCTCTGGGGGTCCGAATCTCAATCGGCCCTGCTTGCCTGACGACCCTTGGGCCCGGACCGCTTGGCTTGGGAGCGCCGCGTGGGGCGTTCCTCCGCCCCTGCCCCTCCGAAGCGGGTGGGGCGGGGGGGGCGGGGCGACCCCCCGCTGGGCGGGAGGGGCCCCGCTCCCCGGAAGCGCGGCGTGCCCGCCGGCAGGCGGAGGCAGCGCTGCCACCTTTGTGGTGGCGCGTCCCCCCCCCGTTCGGGACCTCGCAGGTCCCTCCCCTCCCCTCCCCCCTAGCCTAGGGGGCCACATGCGAACCCTACCCCATACCCCCCACGATTTCTGACGGGGAGGGTGGGGTTCACCTCGCTCGGGAGCTCCCGAGCGAGGTGCACCCCCCCCCTCCCCCTCTGAAATCGTGGGGGGTATGGGGTAGGGTTCGCATGTGGCCCCCCTGCCCCCGCTCTCCCCTGCAGGGCTCGGCTCGCTTCGGTGCCTCCGGGGCGATCCGGCTCGATGTCGACGGCTTCCGGCTCCCCTCCCGCCGCTCTCCCTTGCAGGGCTCGTTTCGACGCCTCCGAGGCGATCCGGCTCGATTTCGACGGCTTCCGATTCCCCGTTTCGGGTGGGCTCGGGATTCCGATCTAGGTTCCGATTTCTATCCGGAGGCATACCTCTGGAGGCATACCAGCCTGCAGATTTCCGCCGAGCCGATGCATCTCGATCGCCGATCCGGCTTGCCGAATCGATTCTGGGCTCTCCTGCCCCTACTCCCATATACGAGAGTGGGACCGCGTGAATTTGAAGCGTGGAGGAGGCTGGCCCCGCAAGTTTCTCTAGGCTGTCTGGCCCCACGCGACAGCTGGCCCAATCCGTTCGCCGCTGCCGCTGTCACTCGAGCGTTCTCCGTGCGAAGGTCGCCGAAAACCGGTGGTCTTTCCCTCCTCGGCTTTGGATGCCGCTCGCCGCTGCCGCCCCCGTTGTGGGTGCCGTCGCACCTGGCTGGCTGGTCCTCGCGCCACTTGAGCACCGCTGGTTCAGGAGCGAAAGAAGGACGTACATGTACATGAAACCACGCTGGTTTCGAGAGTTCGCATTGCGCGAATTTTCATATCGCGCGGCAGGTCTCGCGGGTCAAGAGGCCGTGTTCATGTACATAGCTGGACGCGTACGTCCTTTGTGGGCTCCCTACTGGTGATGGGCTCAGACACTTCGGGCGGCAAGCAGACGGGCAGACGGGCTAGGAACCGAAACCACGTGGCAGAACCAGACGGGCGGATCGGGCGGGCAGACCCTAGCGGGCGCTTCGGGAAGGCAGGCCTAGGCGGCCACGTCGAGCAGGCGGGTTGCTGAAGCGTGAATGCTGCATGAATCGCGAGGAAGACTCGAGCTATAGCGCGATCCCCAAGTAGATCGCGCGAAAGGCCGAAGCGAGAGCGTGATTCTTGAGTGTCGAGGGCGCGACGTGCGAAAAACTTGCGAGGATCTCCCGCGCGAGAGCGCGATTGATGCACATTGTGAGGAGGTCCCGCGCGAGAACGCGCGTTTGAAATACACTGTGAGGACGTATCCGGCGGGAGCCGCTGTTGTTGTAAGCCAGGGCCCATGGACGCAGTTGGGTGCTGTCACACGTTGCCTTGTAAAACATAGGGCGCGAGCCCCGGGAAAAGCATTTCAGTTGACACATACAATGTTTACCGAAGGGGGGATCAACCATGATACTTCCTTAGAAGTGAGAACTCAACAACAGCAACACTAACGACACCAACAGCAACACCAAGACCAGCAGCAGCAACAGCACAAGCAACAGCAGCAGCAACAGCAGCAGCAGCAATAGTAAAAGTAACAATGACACCAACGGCAGCAATGCCAACGACAACGACAACAACAACATCCACAATAGCAACCACAACTCACACACGTCACAACACTTACAACCCTTGCGACAACAACAATAACAACAACAATAACAACAACAACAGCAACAACAACAACAACACCATCAGCAACAACAACATTCGCAGCAACAGCGACAGCAGCAACAGGACGCCGAGGGCGGGCAAGCAGCCGAGGCCGCCGGCGCGTGGCGCGCGCGGGGCGGCGGCACCGCGCGGCCGCGCAGGAACCACGGCAGGGACGTCCAGTGGCGGCGGCCAGGAGACTCCCGCCTCCCGCCCCCGCCCCCCGCCTCCCTCGGGGCGGCGGAGGCGGGCGCAGGAGGAGCTGCGTCGGGCATGTCCCGCTACAGGGGGAGCACTCCAGGAACAGCAGGAGCAATGGTATGGTGGCCGTGTTTCGTTCTCCTTTGACTGTTGTTGACTCTTAGGTGATATGCACGCATATGTACATGCATATATACATACATACATAGATGTATGTATGTCTGTATGTACACACATATATATATATATATATATATATGTGTGTAGGTGTATCTCCCCAAATCCGCCTTCAGGAGGAAAGCCCAACCTAGGGTCAGAGCGGGGCCGAATGCCGACCGCCGCCCTCGAAGAACAGAAACACAAGGCGTAAGCACAGACTTCTGGAGCTCCGCGCGGGTTTCCTGAATTGGCTCTGGGCCCGCCTGGCGGCGCCTCCGGCTCCGCCCCTGGCGCGCTCGCCAGGGGCGGGGGGGTCCATCGCCGATGCAGGAAGTCCGCGCGGAGCTCTAGAAGTTTATGTCCATGCAGTTTCCGTCCCTCTACGCTCTCGGGGCAGAAGTCGGTTGCACAGCAGCGGCCGTTGTCGGTTTAGGGCAACGCGTGCGGCTCGGGCTTCCCTGGTTGTTCCGTCTCCATTTTGCGCGTGTCAAGCCTCAAGGGCACCGACAAGGGGGCTGGCCCAGACGGGTAAGCATTGACCCCCCGTCGGCCATTCATCGCCTACCGGGGCCTGGGCCTCCCTTCCCGCCCAGAGGATGGCGCGGTTTCGCTGTCGGCGGCCTGTCGCCGATGTATCGGCGATGTATCGCCGGCTCAATCTCGATGTTTCCCCCCGCCCCCTGAGCTGGACCCCCTCATCGTTCCCCCTCGCCGCCTTCTCTTGGCTCTTGGCAGCGCGCACACCCGGGTGGCGCGAGGGGCGCTGTCCCCTCAGACTCCCTCCGAGGGCGTCAGAGGTCGGCTCTGGAGGCGCGGGTGTGCCCCGGCGAGTCTGGCGGGCGTGCCTCCCCCCCTTCTGAAAAGCCGAAGAGATCGAGTCGCCTGGGTCTCGGACGCCGTCCCGCCTCTCCTGGGCCAAGCAGGCCAGACGACTAAGGGGGGTAGGTAGAGGGGGCGGGAGTGCTGAATTTTCTGCATGCAGCTGGTTTCGGCTCCACCGCCGTGCGCCTTCCTCGATACACAGTGGCGCCTCTCGCGCCAGGAGGCTGAGTTGCGAATCCTCGGAGGGCGATTTATTCCCACCGCCTCCGCGCGCGTGCCTTGTGCTGGACCAGATGTGTCCCCAGGGTTTTCTTTTGTACAAGCGCCCCGCTCCACGGTCTTGTTCCCGACGTGCTTGTTTGGTGGTGTGCAAAACTCGTCGCCCGCTTTCTTGTAAGCGGCTTGCGCCGTACCCCCGACCCTTCAGGTCGGGCCACTCGGAGGACTCCAGGGGGCTTTGGGGGGCCTCCTGAAGGCCCCTTGGGGGCTTCTTGGGAGTCTCGCGGAGGCTTCTTGGCGCTCCTCTCCCAGGACCCCCCTGACCCCCCCTCTCGTCCGACCCGGGCCTCCGCACGGCAGCCCTCCCCATGTTCAGGCCAGCCGCAGCCCCAGGGGGTTGCAGTCCCCGCCACCACCTGGCCTGTCACCGCTCTGACCTGTTCGTTTCTTTCTCTCGGGGAAGCGTATAAGACTCGAGGAAGCCAGAGCTCGGGCTTGCCAACGCCTGACGAGCTAGAGGTCTTCTAGAAGGGGTCGGAGTAGATGGGGTCGTAGGATCGCGCCGCACGGGCGATGCATCGGTGATACACCGGCGATGCATAGTCGACGTCGGTGATACATCGGCAACGTCAGCAAGAAGCATATCGGGCCCAAAATCGGCGATGCATCGGCGATGCATCGGCGATGCGGCGCGATCCTCCGACCCCATCTACTCCGTAGCTCGATCCTCCGACCCCATCTACTCCCACCCCATCTAGGAGGCCTAGACGAACGCGTCCTCGCTTTTGACGGTTCTTATTTTGTGGGATGTTTGAAGCCGGAGTTCGCGTCGAATTTCAGCGTTGGGTCTCGTCACTCTCATTGATGGCCCCGTCAGGCCGACCCGAGTCCCCCGAACCTGAGTTTCAATTACCCCTCTCCGGTTCTCCTCGTTGAGGACCACCGAGGAGCATCTTGGCTCATCTTGGGAATCCGAAAGGCAAGGCACGAGGTCCGACGAAGGCATCCATGCACCACCAACGTGCCAGGCCAGGGCCATCCCTGGCCCCAGGATGGTTCACGGACCCTCTTGGCCTCGGCCAGGATGGCGTATACTCCATGCCAGGGCCAGATGCGCACGAGTACGACGAACACTGCACGGGGAATGGACGTCCGGGCGGTGGCAAGCTTGAAGGGGGCTCCTTGGTCCCCCGCGCCCTCTTCCGCCGAGCTCCCCGTCGGGCGGCCCGCGGGGTCGAGTCGCGTTCTCCGCATTGTGAGCGGTCTGGGATGGTGAGTTGCAGTCCACGCGCGTCGCAAGGATGAGCAGCTTTCGGAGGTTACCCTCATGATGCTCCTACCGTCGCTAGCCTGGATCACCAGGGAAAAAGTCGAGCACCAGGAAGGTACCGAAATTCGAGGGTTTTCACGTGTCGGGCCCCGGGAGGCGACGTTCGTCCAACACTGTTTCGATATTTTTCTTGTTTCTCGGAATTGTTGCTGGGATGTGGCCTTGAAGTACGATGGGAACAACATAACCCTTGCACCTTTCCCATTCAGCCTATCCTTGGCCACATTCGCTGGCTGCGCTCTGCTCGCATCGTGTCGACACGGCCTTACAAGGCCCGTGCATCCTTCTCGTGCGCCCTTGTGATGCGGGTTGACTGCAGCTGTCATGCACTCGACTTCATTGCGCAGCCGAGTGCATGGACGAGCCTTGAGGAGGACTTTGCAGAGTTTTCCTTTTAACCTTGTTGCCACGCATTGTTTGCATGTTTCACCCCAATCTGGGCGCTTCGGCCCCTCCCTGCGGCACCATCGTGGTGCAGTTCTTGCAGGTCGCAGTTCAAAGTTCGCAGTTGAATGTAGCTGTCATTCTCTGAGGTGGCCGCGCGACGGCGCAGTTCTGGTCGTGTTCGCGTCTCGCGCTGCGCAGTGCGCGATGTCAGGCTGCCTGGCATGGCCCGGCCGATGCTTTCCAGGTGTTGAAAACCTCCAGCGCATGATCCCGTTGGGCCACCCGCCCTGTTGACCCCACCGCTCCAGGAGAGATCTGGCAGCGGCCAGACGACCTCATGATGGAGTTTGACAGCCGCGAGGACTCCGTGGTCATCCTCTATCGTGGCATTGCCTAGCCCCCTTTAACATAATTGTGTCCTGTCCCTCTGTCGCTCCGTGTATCATTCTCTCTATCTCTTTCCCCCTCTCCTTCTTTTTGGGGTTGTGTTGTTTGTTGTTGGTTCTCTCTCTCGCTCTCTCTTGCTTCCTCTCCCTCTCCCCTTTTTCCACCCTCGTCTTTTTTATCTTCCCTTGCTCAGCTCTGCTTTCCTCTTCAAGTACATCTGTTTGCCAGCGTGGAACCCAAACAGTGTGCTGTCCAGCGATATGTGTGTGGAGTACTCTATGTAATGCAAGTGTCTTCGAAAAGCTAGTAGCTGTCAACTCCATCGCTCTCGCAATCATCCCACCCGCCCAACCGCAGCTTGGTTTGCAGAATCTCGGCCCTACTTTTCCGTAGCACTTCTGGCTCAAGAAGGTTCTGTTGTTTCCAGCGGGCAAAGTGGATACAGTCAACCCGCATAGTGAGGACGGGCAACCTTCCCAAGAGGTACCCTTGCAGCCTTGCCTCCTCGGCCCATCCTTGGCAACTGTCGCTGGCCAGTCTCCTTCAAACATCGTTCACATGGCCTTCCAAGCCTCTGCACCCTGAATATCGCCCATCCTTCTAATACGGGTTGGCTGTACCGTTGGTGTGCGGCTTGACCCTGTCTTCCCGAGGGTCCGTTCGCCCTCCTCCTCCTCATCCTCCTCCCCCTCCCCCTCCCCCTCCTCCTCCTCCGCCTCCTCCTCCTCTTCCTCCTCCTCCTCCATCGTCCTCCTCCTCCTCCTCCTCCTCCCTCCTTTTCCTCCTCGTTCTCTCCTCCTCCCCCATCGTCGTCCTCCTCCTCCTCCTCCCGAGGGTCCGTTCGCCCTGAGTCCTCACCGCGGGCACTCCGCCCCAGGCCAGAAAACCTGCTGTGTGCAGAGCGAAGCGCTGTCGGGGATGACGAGGTCTCCTTTGTCGCAGAGACCAACCGAGCCAGGGCTGGACGAGCTCGCGGCCAGACTCGCTCCGAGAGGGCGATGCGAGAAGCTGCTGGCGATTGAGATCACGGGGGACGGCGGCAAACAATCCACGCGCATGTCGGCAGCACGGGGTGCTGGAGCACGGCCCCGGCAAAGTCAGAGGCGAGAGTCAGGAGAATTGAGAGGCTCCAGAGGAGTGCTGCACGACCACACCACCACGATCACGAACTCACAGCGATGTCCGGCCAACGCACGTCCGAGACACATACGACACAAATGCCACAAGCGGAACTCACCAACTGACAGCAATTCGAGATTTGGATTCTAAGTGTTTTGTGCCGTTTTCGGAAGGAACCACACCACACCGTGGAAGAGTATATGCGTGAGGCCATCCGTAAAGCACGCACGGCATTGATCAAATGTGGCAACCTGCTGGTCACGGAATTCATCACGGGGCAGTTCCACGATTTTATTGGGGACCTACACGATAAACGCGACCTGAGAGGGTGCCACTGACAGTCGTGGAATATGTGGTGTTTCAAAAGGCAAGCCTCTTGGCGTCAGGATGCCACCCACCAGAGTGCATTCGGTCGGCACCATGGCAAGTATCGGAAGCTAGACCCGAGCGTGCGATTGCACCAAGCGGGGTGGAAGAGAGCGACGCCTGAAGATCCTGTAATACAGGAATTTGGGGCGAGGTGGATGGAACGGTTAGGGCCGCGTTGGGCGGAGGGGGGGTGGCATGTATCCAGAAGATTTTGGAAAAGCACAGGTTACATGGCAGGCAATTGCACGCCCTCTGGTTACAACAACGGCAGCAGGCCCGTAAGCGTGCGTGCGAACAGCGGTCCGCCACGGCGCAACAGGTTGCGGCGACAGAGCGGGCGGCGAAGTGTGCAAACACTACGTTTTGCGGAGCCCCACGACCCAGATTGGCGACCGAATGGTCGAGGTTTCCCATTGCCAGCCAACCTAGAGGCCACACGTTGGATACAACATGACAGTTAGTTGCTCGTGGTCTGGGTATGTGGTGTGTCTGTGTGTAGTGCTTCGAAATGGGTGACGGCAAGGGATGCAGTGACAACTGCACCAGACGTGGCGCGGACGGGGTCGTGGGGGATACCCGGCTGGGCGGACCGCGGGTGGAACACGTTCCGCGGGAAGTCCACGCACGGGCCGATGAATTAGTCGCAGCAGGATCGCGACGAAGAACGGAGGGGGGGAGGGTTTGTGATCACGAGTGTTAAGTCGGGCCTGTCCCTCTACAGGGGGAAGATTCAGAAATAGTCAAAACATGGTACGGGAACTATTTTTCATTATTTTTCCACATGTTGGAGCATTTTTGCAGCATTTTCTTTTCTTCGTCGAAAATCCCCCTGTAGGGGGACGCGCCCGACTTCAGACGAGTGCGATGTCACGGCGGGTGGTGCTTCTCCTTGCGCGGGGGCAGACGTAAGGTGGGCGCAGGGGGGGGCCAATGGGAGGAGGGATGGCCGCGCCCGTGCGAAGCAGGGGCCACGGGGCGACCGGGGAGCGGAGGGGTCTGCATCGCGAGTCGATGTATTTTCGGGCGAGGGGCGCTGCGCTGAAGGCGGAGACAATGGCAATGCGGCTGGTTGTGGAGTTCCTCCAGGGTGTAGCGGCGTGCCAGTGCGGTGGGAACTACTGTGCGAGCAAGGCCGTATCCGTTTTCTGCGCGCGGCAGATCACGCAGCACCCGGGGACAATCGGGCCCCGAAAGTGGAAACGAAACGAATTTCCTTCCCTTCAGCGGGAGCAAACTTACTCATGCTTGCAGAGACAGTACATTTCGCCACGCGATCCCGAGTATTTCTCTTGGCAGAAATGGCTTCGGAAACAGGCAGTTCATTCCTCACCCTGTTTCCAGACCGCATTTCTCCTGGCGGGAATGGTGTCGCAAACGCACGGTTTTCTTTGAACGGTCTTTAATGCCATGCCACGTCAGCATCGATCCAGCCACGTGGGATAGCAAGCGCGTGGAACGAGAGGATCTTATGCATTAGCGGATCCTGTTGCAACGGCGTGCCGGGTTGAAGAGAGGGCGCGGTTCCACCACCAGCGATGTGACTGTGTGGCGCGGTATGTTGTGCAATTGCGTTTTGCCGCACTGGGCCTGGGCGGGGGAGACGGGTCTGCGAGAGAGCGCGCGATTTTCCAGCATGCGCGCTTTCTCTGCGGAGTTGTATATTTCAGCTGGCTCGCGGTCTGGAGGTGATCCCAACAAAAGACAACTGACGTCGTGGAGGGTCGGCACCTTAACCGTTGAGTTGGGAGGGCGAGGGGGGATGTTCTGGAGGGGCCGGGGGCGATGGGAGACGATGCGGCGTGGTTGAAGGGGGAGGTAGCAGGGGGCTTCGTGGGGATCTTCCAGGGCCATGAGCGGTCCGAAGAGTTCGGGAAGCTGGATTCTCGTGTTCCGCGAGCGGGGCGCGCGCCAGCGCGGCCGCCCGGGGGGGCGCCCCCCCAGGCCCCAACTCTAGAGGCCCAGGTAGAAACCAAGGACACACAATAGTCGCAGTGAACTTGTGGATGCCAGGACGGGGGCGGGACATGGCGCCAGGCTGATCTCATCCCAATCCGGAAGCCTCCACGGTTACAGAAACACGGCTTCGAGGCCCCATCGACTTGCTCAATCATTACCTAAACGCGCCCATGGCGTCCATCAGTAGGTGGATTGACGATGACAGCGCAAAAGAACGTGGCAACGTCGCTAAGGAGGAAGGATGGCGCGTGCGTTGGTCACCTTACTTCAGCGGGCGGTCGCACCCAGGCATGAGGACATGCCGCATGCACAGCTACGAAGGATCAAGTTTCGCAGGCCATCAGCAAGGTTTGCAGGCGCACACCACAGCGATCGACCCATGGCGACGGGACGAGAAGCATGGAACTCGACGGCTGAAGGTTCGCATTCAAGCAGAAACAAGCAGCCAGAGAGCAACGAGGGCGACGGCAGCCAGAACAAGTACGCGAGCCCAGTGGGGAAGAACTTGCAGGATGGGGGCGGCGATGCACTGGCGCGCATGGCGGCCGCCATCGCCAGGCTGGCGCTGTCCACCGCAGCAACGCTGTCATTCGGTCGGGCATGTCCTCCTACAGGCGGGTTTTGGAAGATGCGTTCCAACAGTCAGCGCATGGTTAAAAATTGAGCATCGCCCCATAGACAATTGCTACCGATGTTTGAAGTGTCCTCCCGTGGAAGGACGCGCCCGACATGCAGCTGCGAAGCGTCGTCGGCGTGGTCTCGGTCACGCTGCTCACGCCCGCTGGCGGCAAAAATGACAGTGGCCATGAACTTGCGCGGGCCAGACGCGCCGCGAGACGGTCAAGTTGCGCGCGGAGAAACACGAGGAGAGCTGCCGGGGCCACCACATGCGCACGCATGTTCCTGACGGTGCTCGCGGGCATCAGCAAGGGCGAGCGCGCGCGGGCGACCTAGGACATCGCAGCACCGTTATTGAACGACTTCATTAATGGCAAGAGCGAAGAGCAGGCGCAGGGGCCGACCAAGCCTAACAACAACCAGAACACATCAAGGTGCAGGAAACTCTGGTGGAGGAGCTCCGCCTCGGCCCGCGGGGGCCGGGGCGATCGGGCAGGGGCCAGCGCCGAGGGGCCCGTTGGAGAAGGCGGCCCAACAGCTCCCGGGCGAGCGCTGGGGCAGCACGGGCTCCAGAGAGAAGGCCGCGGGCAGCAGCGGAAAGTGGGGATGATTCATAGACAGCGCAACATCATCGCCAGACATCCCATAAGGCTGGTACGATGAGGGCGGCGATGGGGCAGGCGACGGCTGCGTTGGCGGTGGGCCCAATCCGACGTCGAAGCAAACAATCAGGTGCGCTGGTCTCGGGAAGGACCAATCGTACTGCCGCTGAGGTGGTTGGGGGCTGCTGGCTGAAGTAGGGAAGGCTACGCGTCTTCTTCTGGGTGATGTTCAGTGACGGTCATTTTGTCAGTGGCGTGGCGATCTTTTTCGGGGAACTGTTGGTTATGATTTCCCAGTCCCGTGGGTTCTGGTTTCTTCAACATGGTCAATGGCCTGGTGCTCGAGGATTTCGGCTACTCCCAGTAGAACGGAGAAGTAGCGTGGGGCGATCGCGGCTATCTCCTCTTGTTCAGGTGCAGTCGCGCAGTAGCTGTTCGTTGCGCGACAGCCTCCCGACAGCCTCCCTGACAGATGCTCCTGGCTTTGGTCAAGGAGCGGTGCCCCCCCCCCCCCCCCTCCTTCGGGGGGGGGGGTAGCAACGCTTCGTTGCCGCCCCAACTCCTGCGCTGGGAGGGGGGGGGGGGGGGGGCGGCAGCGCGCGCGCGTGGATTAGAGGGCGGCCGTGCACCTTGCACACATAGCTGCTGGCATCGAAGCACGTTGTCCCCCCCCCCCCCCCCCCCACCCCCTTCTCTGACAGCAGCCTGGCTGCCCAGAGACGTCGCCCCTATTTTTCTCCTTCGAGAGGAGCGCCCCCCTGGCTGCAGACTGCCTGACGCCCCCTCCCCCCCTCGGAGTGTAGCTGATTCAGATATCGCTCAGTAGGCTTCCAAGATAAGGTTAGAAAACCGACGCGTATCCTACAATATAGCGGCTGGTAGGCTTAATTGGTCGACATGTTGGTTCCGTGCAAGCACATGAACATTGCCTTTCGTATCAATATTGCTTGATTGGTACAGGTGTATGTGTATTGTGTACGGAAACGTACACTCGTTTTGACGGGTCTTCTCATGTTTTCAGCCGATGTCTAGATATCGTGGGGGTATGGAGACATGGTCATTGGAAGTAGAGGGTGTGTACCATATGACTATGCACGCTGCACGAAGCAGAGAGACCATGATACCGCACCCGAGGGGAATGGTCGTAGCGCAATCCGGATCTACAAACTGCACGGAGAACACGCGTACTTGCGTGTGGACTTCGGGGGATGGTCCGAAATTCTGGTTTATGGTCGTGTTCAGTATTGGGCCTTGCAGTTTTTTGGAGGGCGCTGTGGAAGTCTATGCTGGGGGCGTTGGAAGTGTTATCTCCTCCAGGCCTTTGTTCAGCATCGTATAGCCTTTAGACCTTGTGCTGCTAAAGACCATACCCTCTGTCGGCCTTCTGGTGGATGTGTGAGGCGCGGCTTATGCCGACTTGAATTGTCGATTGGCGCGTGGAAGTCATGTTCGGCCGGTGTTGGCTATTTGCGGTTCTCTTCGGTGGACTCGATATGTTGCGTATTCAATCTCAAGGCTACTCGATTGTCTTATATCCGAATGAGCCATGTTCGGGCCCTCTTTGGTGGTATGTGAGCCCTCTGGGTCGGAGCACAGCTATTCGGGATACTAGTTGGATCCATGGGGGGGTCCCCCAATTGCAGCACAGGCTTGCAATGACAAAAGGCATTGGGAGGGTTTTTTCTCTAGGCTAGCCAGGACCCGAGAATTGAGACGGGCGCCCGGCAATGCATTCATTCTAACATGACATCACGTAATATTTGTAGAATTATTTTGTTTTTTGGTCAGGGCCTCCTGGAGGTCCAGTTGAGCTTTTCTGTACCATTTGTTGGGAATCTCGGCACGTTTTCGCAGTCTCCAAAGCCATCATCTAGGGCTTTCTGGGGAGTCTGATTGATGGAACTTTCGGCCTCGTAGGGCGATGTTGATGGGCCTTCCTGGAGGCCCGGCGCCCTGGATAATTTCACCCACCCCGAGGCGACACCCTCCAGGGGGAGGTCCGTTGCATTCGGCGTTGGCTGTGGCATCTGTCAAGTTCGCCCGTCGGCTCTCGCGCCCCCCTGCCTCTGTCTCTGGCGTCGGCCTCTCTGCCGCACGGCGGGTGCAGGAAGGCAGAGGGGAGGATGACGCGTTCTGTTCGTCGATCGGCGGCGAGCGCGGGGGGGGGGAGGTGAGAAGGAACAGGCTTTTTGGCGGGAGAGGTCTTCGGTGTCTTCGGGGAAGGCTGAGACAACTTCTCGGAAGGTTCGGGGCATTCCGAGAAGGCCGGCCCCGTCCCATTTCCTCCCGGGCTCGCCGCCGAGCCGAAGGGGATGATTCTTGGGCTTACGCCGCACCGCCGGCCCCTTGGGGGACTCCCGATAGGTCTCCAGGGGGCCTCCTGGCAGCCCCACTGTTGAGGCCTTTGGGGGGCCGTTTCGGGCCCCTCGGGGCCTCTCTTGGGCCTCTGGTGGGCCGCCGCCGAGCCGAAGGAGATGATCCTCACCATGCGCCACATGTCCAAGCTCGTGCCGTGGAGGGTGTTCCAGAGCGACCCGCAGCCCACCGACATCTCTCAGGCGGCGCGGTCGGGCGAACCTTCCCTTGCCCCGGCCTCCGCCTCGGCTCTCTTGGGCGCTCTGGGCTCCTCCTCCCCGCCCTCTCGTGCCTGCTGTCCTTCCCTCCTCTCCTCCTCCTCCTGCCACCTGCCATCCTCCATCTCCTTCTCCTCCTCCTCCTCCTCCTCCTCCTCCTCCCTCCTCCTCTCCTCCTCCCCCCCCTTCTTCTTCTCCTCCTCCTTTTTCTTCTCCTCCTCCTCCTTCTCCACCATCTCCTCCTCCACCATCTCCTCCTCCCTCCGCCAGGGTTCAACTCGATCCGATCTGTCCGATCCGATCTGTAGGCACGCTAACGGCCATGGCGGTAACGGCGATGCAGGTTTCGTGCTTGCAGGTGTGGGTGGTGCGTGGCCAACCCAATTGTAGGAAAGTGTTTGCTGTGTGTCCCTTCAACTCGTTTTGCGCGAGTTCGGCGTGGCAAACACCATATCCCGACATCGCCGTTCACCAACATCGCTGTTAGCGTGGCCTTGGGCGATATCGATTCTGGCCGACACGATGCGATGCGATTGCGGTCTTCCGATGCGGCCTGGGAGTCGCACGGCGTGGTTGCGCAGGCTGGGGCGGCCGACCAGACCAGTTTTCGGCTGCGTGCAGGTGCTGCCCCATCTCCTCCATTCGCCTTCCACTCCCCCCCTACAGTCAGTGGAGCTTTTGCGTAGGCGGCGAGGCAGAGGGCGAATGCGCTGGCGATCTATGGCATGCGCGGGGGTACCGCTGGGCCGAATTGTGCCACCATGCAGGAGGAGGAGGAGGAGGGAGGACGGACGCGGCCGAAGAAAGATCAGCAAGGTCAGTGGACCACGCAATGTGTCAGTGAGGTGTTTGACTGGGTGGGTTCGCCGCGGGCTGCTGAAGTGCTCTCGCGCTTGATCGAACATATGCAGTGCTGGAGCGCGCACCGCGGGCTGCTGGACCGCTCCATCTCGGTACGGTAAGCTCGCGTCGTGTCGACCGGCGGCGACCCCGCCGCCGCCGCTCATCTTCGAACGCCACCCGCGACCCCAAATCGGCCCATCGTTGAACGATTCGGCGTTTCTGAAGTGGCTGACGTTCAAGATGGAGCGATTCCCGCGGTGTCAGGAACCAACGCCGGAGTCGGCACGGCACGAACCTGCCGTAAACATAGACTGTTGGAGCGCGCGGCGTGGGTTGCTGAAACGTTGTCTCTCACAAGGGTTGCTGGAAGGTTGCCCCTCGAACAAATTTGTTCGGATGCAACTCCCGGGAGGTCAAGTTCTGACTCTGCCCTGGTACGAAATCGGGATTAAAACGGCTTGATCCCGCTCAGTCCTGCTCAGTCCCATTTAATTCAGATTCATCCCGTTTTTTCCGAGGCCCGATTCGGCGTAGCAGCCCCCCAATGGGGCCTAATCCTTCTTAATCCTTCCGACGAAGACCTCCCAGTAGTTGCCTCTGAAAATTTGGTGCTCGAGCGCACGCCGTGAAGCGCTGGAACTATGTCCCGTAAATTGCGTGTTGGAGCGCAGCATTTGCTCACCATGGGCTGATGAGAGTTTTCCTTCGTTAACACTGCGCGCTTGCACTGCACCCCATTTAGGGGTTCTAATCTATCGGGGACGCCTTCGGAGAACTCTGCTGTGGCCCCCTGCCTTTCCGAAAACGCCAGCGTGGCCAAACGATGGGCCTTCTGGTCACTCGTGGGTACTTCTCTGGGCGCTTGTGGGCAGTCTTCGAGGTCTATGGGGCCGTCTGAGGGCCGTTTGGGGAGCCCCTTGCGCTTGATTGGGCCATCTTGAGGCGATCACGGGTTACTATGACTATGGAGTCGTCTTGAAGCGTCGGGCGCTGGAACAGGCGAGAACAAACATCATGATAATACCTTTCTCTTGGATCTTTATTGGGACATTTTGGAGGCCTCTTCGGCCGTCTGGACGGCATATTGGGCCGTCTTGGGGCCATCTTGGCCGTCTTGGAGGCCATCTTGGGCAGACAGACTATTGCCTGCCATCTTTGGCGCGGTTTCAGTATGGAAGGCAGGCCAAGACGACGGCTTTTTTTGAGTGTTGCAAAACAGCTAAAATAAGCAGAGTGACATGTAGCACGCCGTGCACACCCCAGTGATAGACACAATGGGCGGCGGATCGAAGACGCCTACGGCGAACCACCTCCGCCCCCAGCCTTTTGGGGACGCCCATGTGGTCAAACGTTGGGCCAACGTCTCGCCAAGCTATTGGACCATGTGTTCCCCCAGCCGGTGAGGACCCGCTTTTGGGAAAACCTGTGAGAGAAAAATAATGGCGGATGATATCGATGAGAAGGAAGACGTGGAGGAGGAGGAGGTGGATGAGGAGGAGGAGGAGGAAGAGCGGAGGCCTCTTGAGACTGCCTTGTGGCTTCCTGTGGGTTTCTGCGGGGTCTCCTGGGGCGCTTCCTGGGGCAGTGGGGGGGCCTCTAAGGGATTACTTTGCCTTCAGAGGCCGTCTTGGGTGTCTCTCTGGGAAGTGGTTAAACCCCTTTTGGGCTGTTTAGGCTGTGGGACTGTCTTGTGCCGCACTGGTGCCGTCTTGGAGCGCCCTTGGGCCTTCTTGCGGGCCTTTTTGGGGCTTGGTGGGCCGTCTTGGGGCGATATTGCAGGCCCATGAGACCGTCTTGGAGCGGCGGAGGCCGGCCAAGGCGAGATCGCCAAGATCATTGAAACGTTGAACGGACATTGAATGACTGTAGCCTCCTGGACCTCTCCTTGGAGCCACCTGAGGCGTCATGGGGACCTCCTTGGCCCTCGTGAGGCCACCTTGGACCGCATTGTGTGCATCTTGGGCCGTCTTGAAGGCATCTTGGGACCATTGTTGGCTCTCGTGGAGCCACCTTAGCCGTCTTGGAGGCATGTTGAAGGCCATCTTGGCCGATTTGGAGGCGATGTGTGCAACGGGAAGTCTCTCGCCCGGGGCTCTCAGGGTGGCCAGCTGGCTGGGCTGGAGGCCGGTTGGAACCTTAAAAGAATTCAACAGTCAAATGTTTTGTACGCCAGGCACTTCTGTGATGAAGCAACAGGTGGTGGCGAATCGAAGATGCCTACGGCGTATGTCCGCCGCCCCCAGCGCAGAAACGCCCATGCGGTCAAACGTTGGGCCGAAATCTGGTCATGCCGTCGGACTGCGTGTTCCCTTGACCGTTGTCGCAGGCGAGATTCCTGTTTTCTCCTGGCTTTCTGGGTCCTTGCAAGCGGCAGGCGCATCAGGTCGAGGCCCCACTGGAAAGCTACAATAACCCAAGCCATTGAACCGTTCAGCGCGCCGTACACCCCCATGGCAAGCCACAGGGGCTGCGGCAAATGACAGCCGCCCCCTGCCTTGTGGCAGCGCCTGTGTGCCCGACGTTGTGACCAGAGCTCTGTCGCGCTGTCGGACTGTGTGTTCCCCCAGCCGTTGTGTGAACTCTTCGGAGAACTCTTGGGGGGAGGAAGAGGAACGGGCGAGAGAGAGGAAATGGAGGAGGAGGAGGCCTCTTGGGAGTTTACGCAGCACTCGTCGGGCCTCCCTGGCGCCTCCAGGGGGCCTCTTGATGGCGGGGGTTGTGCATTTTCTGCCTGTCTGAGGTGTTCTGGCCTTACGCCGTCGGGAGCCGTCTTGCTGGCCTCTCTAAGCCAACTTGTGGCCTCCTTGGGGCTTTCTTGGGGCGCTTCAGGGCCGTTTGGGCATCTCGGAGGATCCCTAAGCCGTCTTGGGGCGTCTTTGGCTGCCAGGGGGCCATCTTGGAGGCCTCTTGGGCGTTATTGACAAAATCTCGGTGCCCCGGTGGGCCACCTTGGGCCGTTGGAAAGTCGAGACGGAGCCGATGCCAGAATCGATTTAAAACCCTTCATGCGCAAATCAATGACTTGGCCTTTCCGGAGGTGCTCCTTGCATGCCTCTTGAATGTGAGGGAATGTGCTATTTGACATCCTATGTGTGTACACAGTTGTGTAATATAGAATTGTATATAATCATATATGTATGTAGTTTTCCGCAACCGCTTGGGTTCAAGCCGACGCCGCCCAATCTATTTGAGTGGCTCGCACACCTACTCATGATTTTAGGCGCTGGGGTGGACAAGCGGCATCTGTCCCCCCGTCGCCATCCTATTGAACCGTTCACTTTTTCTATATATATATATATATACATATAGCCACCCGCACTCCCAACACTGAACGGCGATTGCCTTTAATCTGGTAGCCGGCTGTGTCACCCGTGGCAGATTTGCTCGCCTCCGCCTTCCGTCTTCGGCGTGATGACGTACAGCTACATCTACGCGGACAACCACCAGTTAAGCAGGCGACATTTCGAGGATCAAAAGAGCATGGTGGATGTCACCTTGGTCTGCCACCTCAGTGGCACCCGCCACTACGCAACCGTTGCGTCCCCGACGAGCCCAGCCCGGGCTATGCGCCCGCGACGAGACTCGTCCGCGTCACACAAGGCTACCTCATCCCCATCTTCTATTTGGACAACTTCGTCATCGAGCACGCTTGAAATTTCGACCGCCGCTACAGCGACCCCGCCGTGCGCGAAATACTTCGACCGCCACTGTGACCACCTCGCTCTCCACCGCGCGCTCCACAACCACCGCGACAACATCGCTTATGACACAAATGCATGACGCGAGCGATTGCCCCAGATATCGAGGACCGCCGACCCGCGAACTTCTCTCACTTTGCTGCCGCTCATGGAGACACGACCCGCTATCTTTCCACAGCTCCTGCACCCGACGTCTTCAATTTCCTTTTTCCACTACCTGAACCTCGCCATCTACGAGCTTGCCGCCGTCGCCATAGGTGTGATCGTTGTCTTGCATGATGAGAGAGTTGGGGGGGGGGCGATGCAGAGGTCCCTCGCACGGCACAGCCGGGTACGCGCCCTGCCGCCCACGCGCGCGCCAGGCACGGCCCATGCATGGCTCTTTGTCCACTTTGGACGCCCGACGCCACCCTAGCACGCGGTTGCGTACCAGCGAGGCCTCCAAGGTCTAGCGCGCAGTATCGCTGTGCGGATACCACTCGGGGTTTTCAACTTCGGAGCAAAAGTCCATGACGCGCGACCTGACCCAATGACGGACCTGCTGCGCGACCTTTCGCAACGGTTCGAGAGCCTAGGACGAGCGCCCCTTTTAGCAAGGATTACTAACCAGGGACTTCCGAGTTCGCAACAACGAAGCGATTCACAGTGCACAGGCCAGGTGAGAACGAGCACGGATGGAAGCTGTTCGGGTAGTTGTCACGACATTGTTAGGAGCCATCCAGGTCCCACCGTTTCAAGTTTCTTCGCCGCGTCAGCCGCTCACTGGCAGGATGCCGAGGACCCAGCAAGAGGTCGACCAACTACCGGAAACCGTGAGGCGTTGATGACGTCGCATCGTTGAGCGCATGCATGACACTCGTGCCCAATTCATGGGCGGTCCTGGCAGAGTTTGGGCCCGCCGCGCCGACGCCGCGTTCGTGCTGGGAGGGGGGCAAGCACAGGCCCCAACAGGATCACCTGCCGCTGGACCGTGGTTAAGCAGACGTCAGAGTCGTAATCTTCCCACTATTACTTAAAAATTGTGGGTGGATGAAAAACCACGATGTCCGCCTGGGCCCGCGTCGGAGGAGCGGGAATGCGACCGCAATGGCGCTCGCGGTCGCGCGCGACCCGCCGCTGGTAATAACGCGAATGCCCGGGCGTCGCGGCGACGACGACGGCGACGGTGACGACGACCTGCGGCGTCTGCGCCGAGGGCGACGACGACGGCGGCAACGGCGACGGCGTGGACGACGAACATCGCGGCGACGGCGGCGACAGGGCCAGGGCCGACGGTCGAGCTTGCGCCCCCCGCCCTCGTTCCTCGAGCCCCGCGCCAGACTTTATGGGGGGGGCGAAATTGCCGTGCGAAGCTTTACCCCAGCCGTCTCTCTGCTTTACTGAAGCTCTTTCTCCGCCGTAGTAGAAGGTTTTTCTTGTTGCTCTGAATTCATTGAGCGGCGAGTCTTCACCAAAGCCCCTTCTTCGTTTTAGTAAAGCCGCTCCCTCGCTTCAATAAAGCCGCTTCCTCGCTTTAGCGAAGCCTCTTCCTCGCTTGAATACAGCCGTTTTTTCGCTTCGGTAAAGCCCGCGGTCCACCTTAGTAAAACTTTGGGGATGCGGGGCCAGGGCCTGGTCGGGGGGCGGGGGGGCCCTGTCTTCTCCGCCGGTTCACCCCGCGATGAATTTGCCAGAGTAGTCAGGGTCGCGTCACATCGGGCCGCGGCGATCCTTAGACTTTTTTCAGCGGTTTGTAGATGCTCCTTGACAAGAGATGCGATTCAGGTCGCAAGCGCAGGGGGTGGCTCGGCGATTCGGACGCGCCGCCGTGGTTGTCGCGCAACAGAGCAACAGCATGCTGCTGAAAGGCTTGTTTCCTTTAGCAAATGGCTCTTTTAATGTAATAGTAAGAATTTCCTGCGTCCAAAAATGGGCCCCAAGGTGCCGGGCGCCCATGGGAACTCGACCGCCCGGGCGCCCCCAGCAGCCCAGACGACGCCATTTGTTGCTCCGACAGCGACCCGGTGGGGGGGTTCCATGCAGGAAGACGACGCCAGCGGAGACGGCGACGCGAAATCGTCTACATGTGATACAGCATGCACTGGGAAAGTCGTCGCAGCCTATGCCCGAGGACTGGCGCGCCCACGAGCTGTTCAAGCTGAAGCGGTACCACGACGGCCGCTGGAGACGCTGCACGCGCAAACCTGCGCGCCGAGTTCGCAGGGGCAACGAGCGAACCTTCGAAGGTGGTCGCCGACGCCTCACGGGCAAGGACATTTATACATGCTGGGCTCGGTGGCGGGGGCAAGGGCCGCGGAAAAGGTGCCAGAACGCGGCAGAGGTCATCTGGCAAGGGCAGGGGCCAAAGACAGAACCCAGCCGACAACGACGGCCAGGTCACGAAGTTCACAGCTTCAGGTCAAAGTGCTGCTCACTGGTGCCGGAGACCACGTAGACATATCAGGCCACCGAGCAGCTCCTCCATTTGATTTTCGTGAACGCTATGGGGCAGTACGACACCGACCAACACTGATCCATCAACGATTGGGTCCTGGGCACACGACCCGAAACACGCATCGTGAGAGACCAAATCAATGATGCCCCACACTGCGGCGTTAGAAGATGAACAAATTCATTGCGTGCCCTGCGAGATCTTCGACGACAAGCCGTCACGGGCAGTTTTTTGCCGCGCTCACTCGCGTTCTCTGGCCGTTCACGAAGGCCCCGCGCAGGCTTCCCTGCGTTCTGCTCTCGGCTCTCTGTCTTGCTTTCTGCTCCCCCGCCGCGATGCCTTGGCGCGCCGGTCGGGGCGGTCGCGCGGGGCGTTTTTTTTCACTGCCTGGTCTTCGCGCCTCAGGCCTCGGGCAGCGAGCACCTGCTCCCGCTCGGGGTCGGGGCGCCAGCGCGGGACTACCCGAGCGCGGGTCTTTTGGTCCAGTCTCGCCGCCCGGTTCCCGGGCGCGCCCGCGGTGGCCGGGGGCCTCCGCTTCCTGCCACTTTGACAGCGGTTCGGACGCTTGGATCTGAAGGTTCCGGGGCTTGGGCGCCCACTCCGCCTCGCTGCCCGCGCGCTGTTGCTCTCGCCCCGCAGCCGGGCCTCGCGTCGCAGCATTTTTTCTCTAAAGCCTGTCGCGTGCCTTTTCAATTCGTCGCGACACACGGGGGTGTCCGGGTTTCGATGCACCTGCGATGTGATATTTTTGACGCGCTGTTTGCATGGCTGCGGCACTTCCCACGTGCATCCGTTCCGCCCCAATTTTCGTTCCTCCCCGCATCCGTCAGCCACAGGATCCGGCTTGAATAAGGAACACTTGCTTTTCAAGTCGTTCCCTTGGTTTGCATGTGTTCCGCTACCTTTTTGGCGGCGATCCTCCCTGGTGCTCCTTGGAAAAGAAGGGTGTCGTTACCCATTCACCGTTCTTTACATCAGGCCGAATCCTGTACGTCCTGACCCCCCACCTGCAAGTCCCGGTGGTCATTGGCCTCGGCGTGTCTCGCTCTCTAGCTCTCGCTGCGTTAGCCAAACCTGCCGCCGTGTGACGAATGTGCGTGGGTGCGTGGGTGCAGGCAAGTGGGTGTGCGCTGGTAAGCGCGCGCGGTCGCGCATGCGCGGGCGCGCGCGCACGCGTGCGCGTGTCCGCGCGAGTGCACGGACGAGGAGGACGGAACCCAGAGAAACAACTTGGGTAGGATATATGTGATTATGACAAGCGGAAGCCATGAACAGCCAATCCATCTCTTCAAATCCCCCCGATGTGCGTCCATAATTTTGGGAGTCCTACTAGCAACTGTATCCCATGACTTGATTATCCGCTATCAAATATGTTCATTCATGTTCTCATCCTCTTCCCCGTTTCGTCGTCATCATCTCTGGCATTCTCCTCCTCTTTCAATCGGCATCAGCCCATGGATTTCTCCAGGGGATCGTTTTGGCCAGACTTGTTGTGGCCAGACTTCCAGGGAAACCCACGGCGACGAGAGGTACTCCAGAGGCTCAAACAGGGGAGGGAACCAGTCGGCAACCTCGAACGTCGATCGTCGAATCTCGATGTTCCTCCCCTCTCTCCACCTGTCCCTTCCCCGCCATTGCACAGCTGCGTCTCGCACCTCTTCGTGCCCCCTCTTCGGCGGTATTTTTCGAGCTGGGGCCAGCAGCTGCGATGCGAACCGCTCTGTGGAGGCCCACAAAATGGTGGACAGACACGCAACCAGTGCATCTCCGAAGTTCGACCCCCGATCCTCGAGACCCGATCCTCCTCCTTGCCCTCTCCTTCTGAATTGCAGTCGGGGCGCTGAAGAAGGAACTCTTTTCGTTGGATAGGGGCTCCGTGTTCCTTCATTGTTTCACAGTTTGCCCCAAGCTTTCCGTAGGTTTTTCGAAGGGAAATCGAAGTTCAACTTCTGGAGAAAAGTGGCCCCGTTCCTTATTTAGGGTTCCTTAGGTCAGCGCCCCGATTGTACGCTACAGTCATCACGGGTAGCAAGGACGAACGAGTTTCTAGGACTACTGTTGCGTAGTTCCCTTTCGGCCCACCCTTGGCCATTGCCGCTGGCCACGCCCCGCTCGAAAAGTGTTGGCATGGCCTTCCGAGGCCCCTGTTTCAATATCGTGCACCTCTTTTGCTTAGACGCGCTGACTGTGTTTCTCTCTGGGTCAAGACAGGCTACCAGGCTGGGATGCACGCTGATCGAGGGGGCTTCTGGGCCTAAACGGATAGTCAGGACAAGCGCCGTTCCGCGGTTACCTTTGCAGATTTCCCTCTCGGCCCATCCTTGGCGATTTTCGCTGGCCGCGCCCCGCTCGAAAGGTGTCGACCTGGCCTTCCAAGGCCCTCGCCTCCTTGTCGCGCACAATTTTTTTTCTACGCGCTGACGGTGCATTCTCTTGGCCAAGACGGTACACTCGGCCCGGGCGCACGCTGATCGAGGGGTTTTCTGGGCCTAAATGTTTGCGGTTGAGGCGCGCGTGTGCGCCGATGTCATCCACACCCACAGCGCACTCGATCTATCTTATGCTTGCGACTTGTTTTCTCTGCCGACCTGGCGAGCCACCAAGGGACGCGCAATTGCTGCAGACAGACGGCCCCCCATGTTCCTCATTCTCCTCCTGCTCTCTCTTCGGAGGGCCGTGCCCAATCTTTTGCTCTCCCAGCGGGGCCACTGCCCCGAGCCAGTCTGCGTAGCACGCTGCGCTCTCTGCCGCGCCCGGGTACAACTCTCCACTCCCCTCGCCCTCCTCCTGCCCGCTTACCGCTTCCCGATTCCTGTCGGCATTGGTTGAAAGGCGCGCTTGCTTTGCTAATGGCCCACTTCTTTAAAACGCCACGGGAATCAGAAATTCAGTTATTCAGAAATACCCAAATCAGCAATTCAGTCATTCAGAAATACCCGAATCAGAAATTCAGAAATTCAGAAATACTCCAGATCAGAAATTCAGATATTCAGAAATACCCCAAATCAGAAATTCAGTTATTCAGAAATGCCCGAATCAGAAATTCAGTAATTCAGAAATACACAACATCAGAAAATCATTTATTGAGAAGTAACCACATCATAATTTCAGCTAATCAATTATACCATCAGCGTAGTTCTTTTTCAGAAATACCCAAATCAGCAATTCAGCAATTCAGAAATAACCGAATCAGAAATTCAGAAATTCAGAAATACTCCAGATCTGACATTCAGATATTTAGAAATACCCCAAATCAGACATTCAGTTATTCATAAATACCCGAATCAGAAATTCAGTAATTCAGAAATACACAACATCAGAAAATCATTTATTGAGAAGTAACCACATCATAATTTCAGCTAATCAATTATACCATCAGCGTAGTTTTTTTCAGAAATACCCACATCAGAAATTCAACTATTCAGAAATACCCGAATCAGACATTCAGTAATTCAGAAATACACAACATCGGAATCAGTTATTGAGAAGTAGCCACATCATAGTTTCAGCTAATCAATTATACCATCAGCGTAGCTTTTTTCAGACATACCCACATCAGAAATTCAATTATTCAAAAATTTCCACATCAGAATATCAATTATGTGGAAAGACGCCACCACGACCACGACGATCACGACCACGACAGCGACGACGACGACGACGACGGCGGCGGCGACGGCGACGACGACGAAAACGACGACGACGACGACGAGGACCTGGACGAGAACGACGACGACCACGACCACGACCACGACCACGACAACGACCACGACCACGACGACGACGTCGGCGACGACGACGACGACCAGGACGAGGACGAGGACGACGACCCCCCATCAGACTACTCAGTATCCAGAAGTACCTCATCAGAATGTCCAGAACTATGCTGAAACACCTAGCATAATAAGATTATCTCTGCAGAAATACACCCATCCCCACCGTCTCAGTAAGCTTGGGGGGAGAGACAATCCCTCTGCGCAGAGAAGCGGCAGGCCCGTGGTAGTGGTCTTGGTCGTGGTCGTCGTCGTCCTCGTCCTGGTCCTCGTCGTCGTCGTCGTCGTCGTCTCGTCTCGTCTCGTCTCGTCTCGTCTCGTCTCGTCTCGTCTCGTCTCGTCTCGTCGTCGTCGTCGTCGTCGTCGTCTCGGCGTCATCGGCGTCGTCGTCTTCGTCTGTTCCCAAATGCGACGTCCGAAGGGGCCAATTGGCGCGTGCGCCGGCCACCTGCGAAGACAAGTCTTGGCCTTGAGAACGGGTTTTTGTTTTTCCTGGGCCTGCGCTTGGAAAGCCCGATTTGGGCAGATTGGACGGCGGTTCGCTAGGGCAGCGCTAGAGGTTTTTCGCACGACGGTCCACATGCACCAGCCGCCATAGAAACGCATCGGATTCGCAAGAACCAGTTCTCAAGGCCAGCTTTTTTTGCTTCACTAAACCGTCGTATGGTGCGCTCTTTCTGCGTCTTTACGCATTTCCCATAGGACGGTCGCATTAGCGACGTCCGAAGGGTCCGGTCGGCGCGCGCGCCGGCCACTTGCAAAAACAAGTCTTGGCCTTGAGAACGGGTTTTCGTTTTTCCTGGGCCTGCGCTTGGAAAGCCCGCTTTGGGCAGATTGCACGGTGTTTCGCTAGGGCAGCGCTAGAGGTATTTCGCACGACGGTCCACATGCACCAGTCGCCATAGAAACACATCGGAATCGCAAAAACCAGTTCTCAAGGCCAGCTTTTTTTGCTTCACTCAACCGTCGTATGGTGCGCTCTTTCTGCGTATTTACGCATTTCCCTTTAATGCGGTCGCATTAGCGACGTCCCTCAGGAGAGACGGGCCTGGTTTCCTGTTCCCTGGCACCCGTAAACATGTTGGCTCAAACGCACACTAAATGCCGACGTCTTCCGCGTGATTCATGTTAGATATTGCCGATGGTTTCTATTCTGTTTCAGCCGAGCCGGGCGAGGGCGATGCTGCTCCAACCCCTGCCGAGGTTATTGCAGTTGGCTTCCGCGAGGTGGCGTCCGAGAGGCCGATCTTCCAGCGTCGTGGCCCCCAGCTCCCTGCAGGCACGGCTCATCGGTCGGAAGGCCATGCCCAAATCATGCGCAGTGCCAGAACCTTGAAAAAAGAACAGCGGGATCACCAGCACGAGCGAGAGGGTAACGAGTCTCTTCGCAGTGTGTGGAACACTGAGAACGGCCTACGGCAGGGCGACAACGTGGCGGTCGGATTACCCCATCAGTTTTCGAGTGCACATCCGAACGAGTGGAGCTTGTCCGGTGCCATGAAGATCGGCTGGAAGGAAGTCGGGGGCCAGGGGGCTCACTTCCGCGGCCTTGGGGGAGTAGGCGAAACAAGGCATCATCAGCAGGCTTTGTCCATCCTCGCGGGCGGCTTGCAGGAGGCGCACGGCCATGCCTTCTCGACATGGTTGGATGGTCTGCCCGACGGCGCCGTGCTCCACATCGAGCGGCACTACGACCCGACGCAGCTATTTTTGTCGTTCGGTGCCATGGCCCAGGACTTGCAGGAGTCCGCCCGCTATTTGATTCCAGATCCTGACGTAGAGGGCCAGTGGAAAGCGGTGTCATGGAATAAATTCTAGACGCTTCGCGCATCACCGCCAGCCCATCCAGAAACGATGTCCAGGCGAATTGAGAGGTGATCAGGGAAGCGCGGGAGCAAAGAGGGGAGCGGCCGAACCGCGCGAAGGAGAGAGGGGGCGAAGGAGAAAAGCGGATGGGTGGATGAGGGCGCGGGGAGAAGGAAGATGAAGAGGATGAGGGGGGGGGAGGAGGCGGAGGGGGAGGAGGAGGAGGAGGGGGAGAAGGGATAGGAGGAGGCAGGAGGAGGAGGAGGAGGAGGAGAGCAAGCAAAAGGGCCAGAGAGGTCTCTTGGATGCTTATCGCAGCCTCATGGGGTATCTCTTGGGCGTCTTGGGACGTCTTGGGGATCCCTTCGCTGTCGTGGGGGGGTCTCCGGCGTCTTGGGTGCCTCGGGGGGGGCCTCTTTGGGCCGCGTGGGATCCTCGTGGGGGCCTCCTGGAGGCTTCTTGGGGCCATCTTGGGGCCGTCTTGGGGCCATCTTGGGACCTCTCGGGGCCTCCTGGGCGCTTCATGGGGCCATCTTGGAGGAGATCGATCAAGCGAGAGGGGAGCTGTAGGTAGGGCCCCCCCTCTCAGGAGGCCCAAATAGGGCCAATGCAATAGTAGAACCCACGATGTTGGCTGCCTCGCCGAGGCCGTTCCGGGCGCTCCGACGCCTCGCGGGGCCCCCTGTCCAAGTCCAGGGGAGGGGGCATGGGGGAGGGGTAAACCCCCTCCCCGAAGGAAACTCTCTAAACCACCGACGCTCAGAGGGCTGGTTGGATTCCGAGAGCGTTTCCCGAAGGCATTCCCGGGGAAAGGCATCGTGGAGTTCATGGCCCAGACGGTCGAGGTCGTCGCTGCTATGCCTGATGGTCGCACCACGGATGCCCGCCGTCTGGTCGTGGCCCCGTCCATCCTGAAGCGAGCCAATGCGAGCACTGTATTTGAGTCCGTCGAGAAGGCTGTCCCCGAGATGACCATCGACAAGGTGCAGGCGTTGGCGGCCAAGCACCAGATCGTTTTGTACAGCGAGGTGCCCGACAACCACATCGTCAACAAGAGGAAGCGGGCAGCCACGGCAGCAATGCTACCGTCGAACGTGTTGGCGCCACCGATGGGATGTGCTGCCCATCTCCTGTGGCGCGGGATTGTAGGGGTGATGGCAGAGGACAAGATCGTCGGGGACATCCACGCTGTCTGGTTCACGACCCGTCGTTTTCAGTCTCGCAGGGGCCTCTCCATCGCTGCCCAGGCCATCGCATCCGAGTTTAACATTGTGCCTGGCCCGCCGCCCAACGCGGAATGGGCGCGACACATCGACACCATTTTAGAGCAGACAATATTGCGGACCATGTCGCAAGTGAGCGGCAGGGTAGAGCGCATCCCGCTCCCCGCGCACGACGAGATGGCCGAGCTGTTGGCCGACCAGCCGGGGGGCCGCCGCAGCGACCAGGAGTACAGGCAGCGCAGGGTGGCCGTCACGTTGGTCAAGACGTTTCTGAATGGCGACCCCCGCGTGCGGGGGCGCGGTGCTCGCGTGCACTACTGCAACGGCTGCTGCGCCAGCGAGGAGGCAGCCAAGGACAACATACACGCGGCCATCGTGTCGGGGGGCTTGTTGGGCGGCTTCTGTTCCAGTGCGCCTTCGAAGAGTCGGTGGGGTTCTTCGTCGGAGGCCATTCGGGCCATTCGCCCTCTCTCCCCTCGCCCTCATTCTCGACCCCGCCCCTGGCCTCTGCATCCCATCCGCCTCGTCTTCTGCCCCTCGCCCCTCCGCTCGCCCTCCCGCGCGCCCCCCTCGCGCTCGCCCCCCCTGCCCGCCCCTCCTTTCGACCCCGTGGCCCGAAGGCGATGGGCGAGCAACTCGCGGGGGACATGATCATGGGGATACTGCCCGAGGCGCTGAGCCGCGCGTTCCCCGCCACGGGCAGGAAGGTCAGGGCCGAGCAGGGCCTCGGCGCCGACGACTTCCGCGAGGTCATTCGTTCGAAGCGAGTGCGAGCAGTCCAGAAAACGAACACGCCTGGTCACATGCAGCAGACCGCAGTCCTGTCTTTCGCCTTGGCCCCCGCTGACAATTTGTGGATGAAGTTGCAGTATCTCGATGCGAACTGCCCGTCGCTCAAGGACCTGAACTCGTCTCGCACCAACCCGTTCGAGATATGCCTGCTGGAAATATCAGAGTCTTGCTTGGGGCCGTACTTGGATGGCCCAGCCTCCGTCGTCTTCTATACCTACAGCCGCGGCCCCGATGACCACGCGCAGCTATGCGCGCAGTTCCAGGGGGCATTCGCAACGCTGGCTTGCGAGATCCACAGCCGCTTTCACTTTGCGTTCCAATCGTATCCCTATCGCCTCCTCAAGTTGGTTGACGTGCGGGTGTCGCAGGCGGAGAAGGACGCCTTGTGGGGGGAGTTCTGGAATGCCCCAGAATGTGATTTGGATGAGTTCTTCTCGCTGCGCCTGCGCAAGATGTATCCGTCCTTGGAGGCAATGAAGGACGACGTCGCAGTCACGAGGGCCCTCGACACGTGGGCTCGCACGACAACCTTCACGAACATGTCGACGGAGAGGTTGCTGGCCCTGTTCAAGAACAGCACCCCTGTGCACCACCCTACCGTGGAGAGATTGGCGGGCACGAGCCTGCTGACGCAAGTATTGGCGAGCCACCTCGCGGCCGGCGGCCTGGACCCTCGCCGGGCGCCGTCTCGGAAGGAGTTGTTGGAGGCACATGTCCCGCTCCGATGCGCCAAGAAGGCCCGTGGCAAGCCACGGGGCGCGAGGGGCGCATTCGCATGCGTGCGCAGCAAGCCGCATGACAAGGCACTGCCCTGGAAGGAGGTGCGCCGACAGCGATTGCGAGCATTCGCCGCGCTGCCGAATGAGGAGAGGGCAAGGTTTCACATGCAGGAGGAGGCGGCGCGCGAGCAACAGCTCGGCGGCGCCGTGGACGAGGAGGAGCGGTACAGCCGCTCCATCGGCAACAAGCTCCTGGGGCTGTCGTCCCGCGGTGCCCCCATCCAGGAGCGCAATGTCCTGGAGGCCATGCAGCGGCTCGCCGCCCCTCCCGCTGCGACAGGCGGCGTGCGACGCATGTCAGAGCCATTGCGGTCTGCGTTCCAGCGGCGGCTTGTCGTCTCGGACTGCGATGGGATCCCGAAGGATTTGCATGTCTCGTACCGGCAGTGCTGCGGGGTCGCGCATCCTGGACTGTGCCCGACGGCGGATCCTGCCCTCCACGCCCTCGGCATCGAGGCGCGCGAGGCCATCGTTGGCATTTTCCAGCGGGTCAAATTCAAGAGGGGGCAGTTGTTCATGCTCACGTCCATGCCAGCACACATCGAGTACATATTCCAGCTAGGCGCCATGTCGTTCAATGAGCCGCGGGGCGCGACGGTGCTGATGCTGGAGCGCTGCGCTGCTGGCGTGCGGTTGCAGGCATGCGCTGGCAGACTCGTGATCAAGGAGATCAGCGAGGTCATTGCCGCGGCTTTGCGGCGGCTTCCAGGTCAGACCTACGCCGAACACTGGATGCCAAACAGGCTCGCCGATGATCGGCGTTCTCGTTATTCGCATTCCTTCCTGGAGCCTTCGGTTCGGCGTCAGAACCGAAGGCCCCAGGAAGGAACGCGAAAACAAGCTCGCCGAACGTCGGCGAGTTTCTTTCCATCCATCGTTCCTTCTTGTCTCTGCCAGCAGGTGACCCAGATGGCCTGGAGTTGCGCCCGTTGCAGGTCGCCTGCCCCGAGGACGCCGCGAGCTTGAGGTACTTCGAAGTCGTCGGGGAGGGCGACCCGTACGCTGTAAGCATTACGGCTGGCGCCGCGCCCGCCAGCCAACCGAAACAGATGACGGAAGAGGGCGAGGGGGACGGCGAGGGAAGGAGGAGGGGCGAGGAGCGAGGAGCAGGAGGGGAGGAGGAGGAGGAGGGAGGAGGAGGGAGGAGGAGGGAGGAGGAGGAGGAGGGGAGGGGGAGGGGAGGGGGAGGAGTGGGGGGGGAGGCGGGATGGGGGGGGAGAGGGGAGGAGGAGGAGGAGGAGGAGGAGGAGGAGGAGGAGGAGGAGGAGGAGGACGACGAGGAGGAGGAGGAGAGATGGAGGTCGAGGTGGATGGTGGATAGGGGGGGGGGGGCAGAGGATGAGGGGGGGAGCGGGAGGGCGGTGGGGCTGGCCCGTCCCCGTGCCGCTGCAGGAGGCCTAGTGCTTCCTTGCTGAGCTGCCGATCGCTCCGCTGTCGCCTGCCGTCGTCGTCCGAGGACGAGGTGGAGGAGGAGTAGGAGGAGGACGAGAAAGAGGAGGAGGGGGGGGTGGGAGAGGGGAGGAGGAGGAGGAGGAGAGGTCGGGGGGAGGAGGAGGAGAGGAAGGAGAGAGGAGGGGAGGAGGAGGAGGGGGGCACGTTTCAAGCGGGCGCCGAGACGCCTGCGCAAGGGCTCGCACTGAGCTCGCGGGCGGGGGGTCCGCGAACGAGATGGCGCCATTTCCTCGTCTCTCATCCTCCTCCCCCTCCTCCCTCCTCCTCCGCCCCCCTCCTCCTCCTCCTCCTCCTCATCCCCCTTCGCCCTCTCCTCCTCCTCCCCCCCCATCCCAGGGTGGGCGAGGTCTTCCTCCTCCTCCTCCTCATCCTCCTCCTCTCCCTCCTCATCCTCTTCCTCCTCTCCTTCCTCCTCCTCCTCCTCCTCCTCCTCCCCCTCCTCCTCCTCCTCATCATCGCCCGCCTCTCCCTCGTCTTCGGCTCGATGTCCGAGGAGCGCCTGTCGCGACGAGGGGTCCTCCATTCGTGGCGGGGCGGACTTTCGGCGACGACGGCGCCGGTGGCGAGGCCCTGGCTGTCGAGGGCGGCGACGGCGGACCCAGTGGGTCAGAGGCCGCGCTCGCGGCGAACATCTGCCAGGGTTTCCACGCGCTTTCGCGCGAGTCCGCCTGCCCGACACCCCCGCCCAAGAAGAAGCCTAAGTGCGCCGTGGAGTGCCCGAGCGCGGAGCCTCAGTCCGAGAGCGACGTAGACGACGATGAGTTATTGACGCATGTTTTTTCGAAGCTGAAGGCGAAGGCCACAGCAAAGAAGGCTCTGCCTCAGGCCGAGGCTGCGCCACCATTGGCAGTGGTTCCTCCGGCCCCGCCAGTTCCTCTGCCCCCGCTGGTTCCTCCGCCCCCGCCTGCGCCCGCTGATCCGGCGGCCGCGGCCGCAGCGCCGGGGCCCGAGGCGCCTGCGCCCCCCAAGGAAAAGCGGGCGATCCCATGGGGGCCCGCTCGGTATCGCTTCAATCTCGCGCGGGTTTTCAGCCAGGGTGTTCAGATCGGTTGGGGCGCCACGTGCGGCCGCCATTGCGACGGCCACGTCCCTGACCCCGCCAATCCAGACGCGGCAGTCCCAGGCCTGCCCTGCAAGAAGCAGTTGACTTACGGTAAAGAGCGCCTGACAGATGAGCAGTGCGTCCACCGTTTGAAGTATTGGCTCCTCGTCGGCCTCCGCCTGCCAATATCCGCCACTATGCGCAGAGACCACATTAGCATGGACATCCGTCACGGTGAGCCAGGGTCCTCTATCGAGGAGGTGGAGCGTCTGATTGCCGCTTGAGAGACGAGCCCGAACCGTCGCGCCTTCGGAAATAGCAAACACAACTGTCTCAGGCCCAAGGGCCAGTTTTGAAACAGGGGCGAGGAGGGGTAAGGCCCGTAGGAGGAGGAAGAGGAGGTGGAAGAGGAGGGCGCTTCCACCGTAACTTGGCCAGCGTGCGTCCCGACTGGCGGGCAGGGTACCCCGCGATGTATTCCATGCTGGTCAATGCCCCCTCCTCTCCGATCCCTTTTCCCCCGCCGCCCTTCCGCTGGGGCGCGAAGAGAATCGCCGCCCGCGCGCGTGGCAAGGGCGACCCATTTGCCAGAGGGGCAAGGGGCATCTGCATCCTTGCTTGACCGCGCACCGTTAACAGCAACGTCGGCTCGGGCGTGAAAGGGTCTTGCATCTTGACCGCGCGCCCTTTGTCATCAGGTTTGATGGTGCGGCCCCGCCCCTCTGATTCAACATTGGCGTTTGCGTATGCACGCTTGCGCCGCCGTGTCATGGCGTCGGAGAGGGCCAGCCGGGAGGTCGGCGAGTCGGGGTTGGGGAAGGACGAAGTTCGATTATCATCTCGACCCTGTCTCCTCCTCCCCCCGTTTCTCCTCCCCCCTCCTCCTCCTCCTCCTCCTCCTCCTCCGCGCACGACTACTACTCATCCCCGCAGCTCATTACTACAAAACTCATACATCATCGGACTAAGACTCCTTAACCTACCACGAACAACAAACCAAGAATATACTAAGCATACTCATAAGTAGTCCCTCTCCCTCCTCCTCCTCCTCCTCCACCTCCCTTGCATCCCCCCATCCTCCCTCCAGGCGCCCGCGGACCTTGCAGCTGGCCCGCCCCCGGCTCGGTTGTTCGCCCCCAGGCTGCCCAGGCATCCCCGACGGGATTTGCCGTCCTAGGGCAAGGGTGGGGGTCGTAGGTAGCACTGCGTGGTAGGTAACTGTGCGCGTCTCCTCCAGGCGCTGGAAGACGGTTCTCGGCCCTGGTGGCTCCGTCGTCCAGTGGCTCGGGGGAAAGGCCTGCAGTCGCTTGCCAATACTGGTCCCCGGTCGTGGGCCCCCCGTAGGCTGCGTGCCGTTCAGGGGGGTCGAACTCCTACGGGCCCAATCCCCTCCTCCAATCCTCCACTACTCCTCTCCTCTCTCATCCTACTCTACTCCTCTTCCTACCCATCCGCCACTCCTCCTCCTCCCTACTCTATCCTCCGCTCCATTCACCGACCAATCACACACCCCTCTCCACGTGCCGAGGCCCACCACGCTTCAAGCTTCGAGCTTCGGTGGCGCGGGCGCGCGGCAGTGGTCGCCATGAAGCGGCCGGCGCCGCCGAGCCATCCGCCGCCTGAGCACCTCGTTTGCGAGGGGACCCAGCAGCGCGTGGCCAGGGCCCGCGCGGCGGTGTCGGCCCAGCAGGCCAAGGCCAAGGCCGCGGCGGCGGCGCGCGCGGCCGCGGAGCCGCGGCAGGATTCTGGCGCAGCCCTCGAGGGGGATGCGCGCGCGGTGGAGGCCGCGCAGGCGGCGGCCGAGCGCGCGGCCTCCGCGGCCGAGGACGCCCTCGGGTACGCGCTGCGGAGCAATCAGAAGATCATCGAGGCGCTGCGAGACTCGACCAAGTCGTTCGAGGCGGCTTATGCGAGCCGCAAGGAAGCGGCCGCCGCGAGGGCGGCCGCGGAGGAGGCCGCCGAAGCGGCTGCGGAGGCGCGGGGCTGCCTCTGAGGAGCCCCGCGGTGGCAAACACTCTAACATCTCCTCCCTCCACCCCTTCCTCCTCCCTCCCTCCCTCCTTCCTCCTCCCTCCTCCTCCCTCCCTGCCCCCCCTCCTTGCCCCCCCCTCCCCCCCCCTCCGCCTCTCGCGATTTTTGTCTGCTAGCAACGCCGTGCCCTCCCCATTGGCATCTCATCGGGGCGAGGGGGCCGAACGGTCTTACAATGTCCCTGGGTGCCCGGCTGCAGTGGGGATCCGCGGTGAGGATGATGTTTGTTGTTGTTGTTGTTGGTGGTGGTGGTGTTGGTGTTGGTGTTGTTGTTGTTTATGTTGTTGTTGTTGTTGTTGTTGCTGTTGCTGTTGCTGTTGCTGTTGTTGTTGTTGTTGTTGTTGTTTTTGTTGTTGATGTCGTTGTTGTTGTTGTTGTTGCTGCTGCTGCTGCTGCTGTCGTCGTCGTCGTCGTCGTCGTCGCCCCAGCGGGTGGGCTGCGGGGCCGTCTCGGGGCCGTCTTGGGGCTTTGTCGAAACCCCTTGGGCCAGTCTCTGGGCGTCTCCGGGGCCCCTCTGGAGCTTCTTGGGAAGAAGGGTGTCGTTGCCCATTCACCGTTCTTTACATCAGGCCGAATCCTGTACGTCCTGACCCCCCACCTGCAAGTCCCGGTGGTCATTGGCCTCGGCGTGTCTCGCTCTCTAGCTCTCGCTGCGTTAGCCAAACCTGCCGCCGTGTGACGAATGTGCGTGGGTGCGTGGGTGCAGGCAAGTGGGTGTGCGCTGGTAAGCGCGCGCGGTCGCGCATGCGCGGGCGCGCGCGCACGCGTGCGCGTGTCCGCGCGAGTGCACGGACGAGGAGGACGGAACCCAGAGAAACAACTTGGGTAGGATATATGTGATTATGACAAGCGGAAGCCATGAACAGCCAATCCATCTCTTCAAATCCCCCCGATGTGCGTCCATAATTTTGGGAGTCCTACTAGCAACTGTATCCCATGACTTGATTATCCGCTATCAAATATGTTCATTCATGTTCTCATCCTCTTCCCCGTTTCGTCGTCATCATCTCTGGCATTCTCCTCCTCTTTCAATCGGCATCAGCCCATGGATTTCTCCAGGGGATCGTTTTGGCCAGACTTGTTGTGGCCAGACTTCCAGGGAAACCCACGGCGACGAGAGGTACTCCAGAGGCTCAAACAGGGGAGGGAACCAGTCGGCAACCTCGAACGTCGATCGTCGAATCTCGATGTTCCTCCCCTCTCTCCACCTGTCCCTTCCCCGCCATTGCACAGCTGCGTCTCGCACCTCTTCGTGCCCCCTCTTCGGCGGTATTTTTCGAGCTGGGGCCAGCAGCTGCGATGCGAACCGCTCTGTGGAGGCCCGCAAAATGGTGGACAGACACGCAACCAGTGCATCTCCGAAGTTCGACCCCCGATCCTCGAGACCCGATCCTCCTCCTTGCCCTCTCCTTCTGAATTGCAGTCGGGGCGCTGAAGAAGGAACTCTTTTCGTTGGATAGGGGCTCCGTGTTCCTTCATTGTTTCACAGTTTGCCCCAAGCTTTCCGTAGGTTTTTCGAAGGGAAATCGAAGTTCAACTTCTGGAGAAAAGTGGCCCCGTTCCTTATTTAGGGTTCCTTAGGTCAGCGCCCCGATTGTACGCTACAGTCATCACGGGTAGCAAGGACGAGCGAGTTTCTAGGACTACTGTTGCGTAGTTCCCTTTCGGCCCACCCTTGGCCATTGCCGCTGGCCACGCCCCGCTCGAAAAGTGTTGGCATGGCCTTCCGAGGCCCCTGTTTCAATATCGTGCACCTCTTTTGCTTAGACGCGCTGACTGTGTTTCTCTCTGGGTCAAGACAGGCTACCAGGCTGGGATGCACGCTGATCGAGGGGGCTTCTGGGCCTAAACGGATAGTCAGGACAAGCGCCGTTCCGCGGTTACCTTTGCAGATTTCCCTCTCGGCCCATCCTTGGCGATTTTCGCTGGCCGCGCCCCGCTCGAAAGGTGTCGACCTGGCCTTCCAAGGCCCTCGCCTCCTTGTCGCGCACAATTTTTTTTCTACGCGCTGACGGTGCATTCTCTTGGCCAAGACGGTACACTCGGCCCGGGCGCACGCTGATCGAGGGGTTTTCTGGGCCTAAATGTTTGCGGTTGAGGCGCGCGTGTGCGCCGATGTCATCCACACCCACAGCGCACTCGATCTATCTTATGCTTGCGACTTGTTTTCTCTGCCGACCTGGCGAGCCACCAAGGGACGCGCAATTGCTGCAGACAGACGGCCCCCCATGTTCCTCATTCTCCTCCTGCTCTCTCTTCGGAGGGCCGTGCCCAATCTTTTGCTCTCCCAGCGGGGCCACTGCCCCGAGCCAGTCTGCGTAGCACGCTGCGCTCTCTGCCGCGCCCGGGTACAACTCTCCACTCCCCTCGCCCTCCTCCTGCCCGCTTACCGCTTCCCGATTCCTGTCGGCATTGGTTGAAAGGCGCGCTTGCTTTGCTAATGGCCCACTTCTTTAAAACGCCACGGGAATCAGAAATTCAGTTATTCAGAAATACCCAAATCAGCAATTCAGTCATTCAGAAATACCCGAATCAGAAATTCAGAAATTCAGAAATACTCCAGATCAGAAATTCAGATATTCAGAAATACCCCAAATCAGAAATTCAGTTATTCAGAAATGCCCGAATCAGAAATTCAGTAATTCAGAAATACACAACATCAGAAAATCATTTATTGAGAAGTAACCACATCATAATTTCAGCTAATCAATTATACCATCAGCGTAGTTCTTTTTCAGAAATACCCAAATCAGCAATTCAGTAATTCAGAAATAACCGAATCAGAAATTCAGAAATTCAGAAATACTCCAGATCTGAAATTCAGATATTCAGAAATACCCCAAATCAGACATTCAGTTATTCATAAATACCCGAATCAGAAATTCAGTAATTCAGAAATACACAACATCAGAAAATCATTTATTGAGAAGTAACCACATCATAATTTCAGCTAATCAATTATACCATCAGCGTAGTTTTTTTTTCAGAAATACCCACATCAGAAATTCAACTATTCAGAAATACCCGAATCAGACATTCAGTAATTCAGAAATACACAACATCGGAATCAGTTATTGAGAAGTAGCCACATCATAGTTTCAGCTAATCAATTATACCATCAGCGTAGCTTTTTTCAGACATACCCACATCAGAAATTCAATTATTCAAAAATTTCCACATCAGAATATCAATTATGTGGAAAGACGCCACCACGACCACGACGATCACGACCACGACAGCGACGACGACGACG